ACTCAGGAAGATGAGCCTTCCTGATTCTAAGCCTGGCAAGCTATTCACTGCGCCACATAGCTGCCCCATCTTGATAACGTTTGAGTAATAAAATTGGGGGCAGGTGATTCATGAGATCGTAGATTTAGAAGGGAAAGGATCTCATAGGCCATCTTGTTCAACCCCCTACATCTTACAGGTGAGGAAACTGAGGCACAATGAGGTTAAGAGGCTTCTTTAATGTTACAAAAATGTTTGAACCTAGGTCCTATGATTTCAAATCCAATGCTTTTCCCCACTGTACTACATACATTGCACTTTCCCCACTGAAACCCCCTACAAGCCATACAGCCAAAGAGTAGGGCACTAATATATTGTAATAATTCTTTCCCTGGTCCTAGGTTGTGGGAGCAAGAGTATGAACTTGAAAACTCTGGGAGAAGATCCTTTTAGAAGGTTTAGGGTATGGGTCAGAATATTTTTGCAGAAGCAATGTCAAATGATAAGAAGGGCTGCCAATACCTTCATGCTATTTAAAGATTTGTAATAATAATGATGATGATAGCTTTTATATAGCATTTTAAAGTTTGCAAAGTGCTTTAGATATATTATTTATTTTGATCCTCACAAAAACCCTGAGGTTTTTGAGGTGGATGATATTTTTATTATTCCTATTTTATGGAAGAGGAAACTGAGGCAGACAGGTTAAGTAACTTGCCCAGGCATACATAGACTCATAGTTTGAGGCAGGATTTGAACTCTGGACTCCCATTCCAGCTCTCTATGCATTGAGCCACCTTCAGCTTCTTGGATTGACTTCAATGGTGATCCCAACAGGAGTAAAAGAAATGGAGTCTATGTGAAGTTGATCTGGATCCCAATTTAAGGCCAATAAGCACAGTACAAATAGAAAAACCCTCCCCATGGTTGCTTAATGTCTGGCCTACACATCAGGGAGCAAATTTCTATAATTAATATAGCTCTGCTCTCTCATGTTCCTTTTGTGCTATGAACCAAATTTATTAGATGGGTAATGGCCTGTTGATTAATTAGAAGGAATACTATTACTCAGAATGATTAGTTTTCCTGTCTGATGATTCTTCACCTATCCACAAATTCTCAGTTTAAAACCAAGAAGGATTTTAATGGCCCAGTTATAAGGGAATATGGAACTAGATGTTTTGGAATTTTCACAATATGACCTGGAACTTCCTTTGAAGTGATACCACAGTCAAAGGGGCCTTAGAGTTTTGTCCCTGTCCATGCTTGTGACACTCCAGATCTGAATCTGTTCGAGAAACCTAATAAAATTCAGAGTCAAATGTGGGCATACCTGTTAACACAGCAGAACAATGTGGACTGAAGTTTGATCAACCGTCAGCTTGTCTTTGACTTGGCCTGCCTCCGAAACCACCTGATATCTGCTCCCACAACCTGAATTGGAATCACCCTGAAAAGTTTTCACGTGAAAGCTTCTTTTGCTTGCCATTGCTTTTAAATATGTTGTTTTCAGTTGTGCCCAATTTTTTGTGACCCCATTTGGGGTTTTCTTGGCAAAGACTCTGGAGTGGTTTGTCATTTCCTTTTCCAGCTCATTTTACAGATCAGAAAACTGAGGCAAACAGGTTGAAGTGACTTGCCCAGGGTCACACAGCTAGAAAGTGTCTGAGGTCAAATTTGTACTCAGTTCTTCCTGACTCCAGGTCTGGTGCTTTATCCACTGTGCCATCTAACTGCCCATGCTTTAAAATTTAACTTCCTGCCTTTGAGAAATTTATATCATTAGGGAAACAAGATTAGGGCAAAAGAAAACAAATGCCACAGTCCTAAAGGTCAGAGAATCACGGGTTTAAATTCAAAGGGGACCTTCATCATTTAGTTCAGTCCCCTCACTTTACAGATGAGGAAACCGAGGCCCAGAGAAGTGATTTACCCAGTCATATACACAGTGAGGATGGACTTCAAACTCAGGTCCTCTGCCTTCTACTTGCTTGATCTTCCCACTGTACCATGGAGAAGGATGTTTCTTTGTTGGTAAAAGTACTAAAAATTCTAAGAGAATGGTTTAATTTTAAGTGCAACATTTTGATTTAATTTAAAGTGTAGCTTCCGAATTTTTATTTTTAAATTTTAGGCTGGACCTGTGATTTAATTGGCATAGGGTATTGCTGGTGAAGAAACTCCCTAGACCAATGCAGATCAGTATCTTTTCTATTTACTTAACAGTTTAAAAAGTTATCTGGGGGCACTGAGGTTAAGTGACTTGTCCAGGGTCAAAGAGCTAGTCTATACATCAGAGAATAGACTTCAACCCATGTGTTTCTGGCTCTAGGGCCAGCTCTTGACGATACCTCACTGGGGTAATACTCACAAAAAGTCAATTGATATGAAACAACATTTCTACCCAGATCCAGCAAAGTTATTACTTTTTGAAACAAACATGAAACTTTAAACCAATTTTACTGAACTTACTCATAAAAAAAAATCAGTTGTTGTCTATATCCCAGCTCAAATCATTTGTGGAAAAGAATTCTTGAAAAGTTGGCTATAAATTTTTTTTTTATAAATTGAACCATTTATCCTCCATCCATCTATTATTCCTTTTCCTTTCAGCATAAAATCAAAGTTGTGTTCTTCCAGGTTAAAAAGTAAGCTGGTAAGTAAGATGCAAGAAAACCACAGCTATGCTTGCAGAAAAACTTACTTCTCTAACTTAAAGTAATTATGCTTCTTAGAAAAGTAGCAGATGGGTAGTGGATAGATAGAGCTCTGGGCCAGTAGTCAGGTAGACCTAAGTTCAAATCCAGCCTCAGATATAATAGCTGTGTGATCCTGGCAAGTCACTTAAGCTCTGTTTGCCTCAGTTTCTTCATCTGTAAAATGTCGTGAGGATAAAATGAGATATTTGTAAAGTGTTTTACAAACCTTAAGACACTAAAAATCTAGCAATTATTATTATTATCATTATTGGTGGAATTAGATGATGTAGCTTGAATGTTTAGTTAAGCAAGTCATGGGGCGCTTCAGTTTCCTCACTTGTAAAATAGGGACATGATGTCTATACTCTCTTCCTTACAGGGTTATTGTGTGAATCCCACAAAATAATCAATGTGGTCTGGACCAAAATGGGTTTTCAGCATACAAATGAAAGTTATTAGTAGAATTGTTATATTATTAATTTATTAACATATTGTTAATCTTATTATTATATAGGGCAATGACATTCTGAGGTCACGCTTCATCTAAAAGACTGCTAATGTGGTAGAGTATTAGACCTAGAGTTAAAAAAACCTGAGTTCGAATTCAGCCATTGACACTTCCTAGCTGTGTAACCCCAGACAAGTCACTTAACCTCTGCCTCAGTTTCCTCAATTATAAAAGCGGGATCACAATAGCACTTCTCAGGGTTATTGTGAGGATCAAAAGAAATTTTCTGTAAAGGGCTTAGCATAGTGGCATATAGTAGGTGCTTGATAAATGTACCTTTCCTTTAATAATGCACTTCCTCCCTTTCTAGAAGATTTTAAATATTTTCTTTCTTCTTGAAATCTTTCTTCATCTAAAAGGATAGGAATTGGACCTGTGATTTCACTGGCATATGAAATTCAGATGAGGAAACTCCATGTCCCAACGCAAGTCAATGCATTCCGGACAACTTAGTGTTACAGAATTAGCTAGCAGAATGAGAGGCTGCACCTTGCCCCATATCACAAAGTCAAAACGTGGACTAGAGGATGGACATGAATTCAGGTTTTCCCAAGTTTTGTGGCTGCCTCTTCATTACCTAAAAACCAAGGTAAACACTAATTTTAAAAAGCACAGACACTGACATCTTGGAAAGAGGTTTCTCTGTTGGAAAGAACCATGGGTTTGGCATCAAAGGCTTAGACTTTGAATCCTCTTTACCTCTTACACTCTAAATTTCCAAAATGAAGGGTTGGTTAGATGACCTCTAAGCTTCTTTTCACCTCAAAATCTGATGATCTAATTTCTCAGTTATTTGCTAGTTGTATAATTCTATGTTATTTCCCTTCAGAGGCACTTCAGTCCAGCCAAAGTGGCTTTCCTAACACACACCTCATCTCCCTTCTCCTTGTCTTTGCACAGATGGTCTTTACTCCATGTCTGGAGTTCACCTCTTCACCTCTTTCTCTTAAGAATCCGTACTTTCTTCTAAAACTCAGCTGAAATACCATATGAAGCCCTTCTCAATCCTCCTGTCCCACAGCAACTAGTAACTCCCCCCAAATTGCCTTGAACTTTAAAATATTAAATTTAAATTAAAATAAATATTATTTTATTAATATTTAAAATTATTTTATTTTAAATATTAAAATTTAAAATTATTTTATTTTAAATATTGATATTAAATATTATTTTAAATTTAAAAACAAAAATATTAAAATAAAAAATTAAATTTAAAATCTTATATTCTATAGAATGTAAGATCCTGCATTCTCAATACTTCACACAATCCCTGGCACACAGTAGGAGTTTGATAAATGCCTGATGGTGAATGGATGATGAGATCAGCTTTGTGAGGTGTGTTCTGAATGTGTTTGTAATATACTTGGTAAATTCTTTATTGTGAGAGCTGACCTACTTTTCTGCGTATCACAAAACCCACTAAAGGGTCAGCACCATAACTATTCCCAGGAGTACAGATTTTCTTTAAGCAGGTTATAAACTATGTAACTGTTCTCATAGACACTAAAACTGATCATAACCAAGAGTGTATTATTTCATCTTGGAATTCTCCTTTCTTGTTCTCAGAGAATGAATTGTGTGGGGAACTTAAATATCACAATGAGTTATTTCTTGGTTAGTTGCTCTTTTGCTAGCCTTACTGCTCTTGATAAAACAAATTTATAGAATCCAATAGCTTCTAGAATCATAGAACTACATTTAACAACTTGTTTAATATTTAGTAACTGTCTTTTCTTGGAGTGGTGGTGGGGAGTGGAGAGGAAGATGACAGAGAGAAGGTAAGAAGCTACCAGTCTTTATCTTTTCATGCTAAATTTTTATTTCAATGTTATGCAACTGCATAAGTATAAATATTTGTTCAATATACAACAATTATGACATCCATAGGGAATTTATTCCAGAAAATCAGACTGCAAACACTTTATTGCACAAAGCCTAACAAACTTTTTTTTTCAAACTGGTAAATCTACAGCTGGGAGTACTACCAAGGAGCACGTCTTACAATCACACAAAGACTGACCAGATAGAACACAGTTAGCAGGAGGGTTTCTACCAGCTGATTAGAGAGTTTCACACCAACAAACAGATATTACATGAACACAACCCTATTGTACTCATTACTCATCCAAAATGCAAAACCAGATTTGGCAGAAATGATAACACACTATACAAAATATACATAAAAGGGTATCATTGTAAACAAGCAGCTAATTGTGCTTTAAAGGAAACAATAGGACAGTTAAAATGCAAGGGCTGTAAACTATGAAATACCTCCTTGATCAAAGCATCATGATGTCTGAGTGCATTAGTATTGGGGCTATGATCGCCCAACACAGATATATACTGCAAATGTTGAGACCAGTATTGAAAACCAGTAAAAAATGGAAAAATGTTTGTTTCCTTTACAAGTGTCGAAGGGAAGATAGGAAATGGCCATGCCCTATGAAAAATTAAGGGGAGAGAAAGTGGTTCTTTTCCTTTCCTTTAGTAATTCATTAGAATGAGGCAAAACCCAAGAAACCAATTGGACCATACTTTTGTTTTAAGAGCCCTGTTCACAAACTGGCCAAACATATTTTAGGGTCATAAGATTATACTGTGCTTAGAACAATGATTTTTATCACCTGGAAAAAGTAAAAAATCCCCATCAGGAATGGGGGACTTGATTACTTCTTGCTGGGCATATGCCTTAGTGGGAAAAAAAGAGAAAAAAAATATTGTGGTATCGATCCCAAGCATCTTAAAAATACTTATCTGTGTCAATATTCCCTTAGTGCCACAGTACTTGTTTCATCAAGTGCTTTTTCCTCAAAAAGAAAAAAAAACCAGAACAAAACAAAACAAAGTACATCAGCGCCAAAATTATCTGACAAGTTCTACATGTTCCACAGTATACAAAATTTAAATAAGGCTTAGCGAAAGTAAAAAGGACAGTCACATTCAAGCACCAAATAGCTCCAACAGGTCTCTTTGTTACAAAAATGCTGCTTTTTATTAATAATACAGTATTTACTTTTTTTCCATACAAATAAAGAGATCATGTTATGAAATGTATGGAGCTACCCAATGCATTTAGAGACGAATGTGAAACCCAGGATTTCTTGCTAAAAACAGCAAGCTTTATCTATAACATAAGGCCCCCGCTATGTATTAAAATGGATCTGATGTCCTGGTTGTCTCTATTTATGACATGATGCTAAAATAACTTTTTTTTTCTTTTTTGCCAAAAAATGTCAAACTTGAAAAAAGCTCTACAATTCATGAAACTGATTACTCAAACCTAAGTACTTGGGGGGTTCAAGTCATCTTCTTTCTTCTTATACAAGAGCAGGGCAGACATGGGACTACAACATATGTGCTTCTTATACGTAAGACTCACAGCATAAAGGCCTGAGTTTAAGAGCTGAAAGAAAAAAATGAAAGGATTACAGCAGAAATTAAGCTGATGAGTATTTATAGTCCCAGCGCCATGTGAGGTGAAGGTCCAATACACACACCAATGGACCAAAAGTGAACAACTGGTCTTTCAGACAGTTGGACCCAGGATCAAAAGGCCTTGCTAGGACATTCATGAAATAAAAATGGTAGGCCCTCTCAGTCCAGGCCTATCCTAATTGAGGCAGATTTTAAATGCAGTGATCAAGTTACATCTTAAATTAGATCTGGAAATATAGGTAGCCAGATACAGTACTATCAAAATCTGATTAAAAATACACATAAAAATTCACGAACTGCAGTTATTTATGATTTTCTTTTGCCTTTAACTCTTGAAATACTTTAACTTGTAAAAATGTAGCCTTGAACTATTGTCTTAAACTATAGACCAAAACTGTGTTTTGTATGTATGTGTGTGAGGGCATATGCCCAGTTTTAGTAATTTTGCTTCTTTCCTACATTATGGTAAGTAAGTGGCAAAGCAACAATTTGTTTAAAAAAAAAGTTGTAGTAAACAACGCAATCAGCAGCAAAGTGTATATTCTACATTCAAAAACCAAACACACTGCTAGATATTTACAGAGAACATCTTTTTTTCCTTAACAACTCTCAACTGTAAAGGTATTTTTGTATAAATACTATATGGTAACAGTTTTACCGGTTACAATTGGGAAGGCATATGGAAAAAGGTCCTCTCTATCGCTCTGTCCACCCTACTCCTCCCAAAGCTCTGCCTGGCGAACAATCCCATTTGGTGCTGGTTTTTTGAAGGTCGTCAGGACAAAGTAACAACATCCAGTCGGAGTCTCCACAGTCCTGCCTCCTGGGTCCTGCCCCATTAGGAAGCCTTTTTGTGGGGGCTGCTGCGCAAACTCTCTTTCCCTCGTCGCTGGCGTACCACAAAGTCCTTTTCAGAAGAAGGGGCTACAAGGCGGTCGGTGTTTGCAGCTGACCTGGGAATGTCTTTTCCTACATTCTGTTTCCTGGCAGCCAGAGTCTGGGCCAGGATGGATTCCTTCCCTTTCACTTCTCCTGGGGTGGTGGTCATTGAGAGGGCCCTGTCCAGGGTACTGACTTCTCCCCTGAGATGTGAATCAGAGTGGTGGGACTCCAGGGCACCTGCTGTACTACTGAAGGATGGCAATGAATCGCTCTTTGTCATTTGTGTTCTGCCATCTGCCCCAGACCCTGGCTTCCTAAAGTCCCTGGTGCTGGGAGCTGGGGTTTCTGCCTGGCTCCTGTTTGTCTTGGCAAAAAGGGTGTCACCAGCCACTGCAGAGATCTCAAGGACTCCTGACTTAGACTCGGGGAAACTTGATGAGGAGCTCAGAGTCTTCTCTGAGGGGGCAGCTGAGTGGAAGGAACTCTGCCCAGTGGCTGATGGAGAACGTTTCATCCCACCCTGTTTGCTGGTTTCCATCAACTGCTTCTGTGAAGGTAGGGCTTTCCCTTTGGGCTCTGAGGAGCTCTTTCCTGCTACAGCTGGCTTTTCCCCACCTTTACCCTTGGCCTCACAGCTCGCCAATGAAAGGCTGTGCTCCAGCTTCCCACAGTCAGGTAGAACATAAAGTGCATCAGTGCATTTTTTCCCTTCTGGCTTCTTGTCTGCCACATTGGCCAAGGGAGCTGGGCCCTTGTCAGTCTGTTTGCAGGTGGCTGAGGGACTTGGGCTTTTGTCGGTCTGTTTGCACAGTGAGGGACTGTCTTTCACAGTGGATGGTTTGGGGTGCTTCAGGGGCAGGGTTTGTTTTTCAGGGATTGTGGAAAGCTTCTGTTCTACCAGCTCAATCGAGCCTGTGGGGTCCTGCCTCTGTGAATGGACCACTGGGGGGTTGCTATTACCTAGCGATTTTAACTTGTTGTCAAGGATGGTGGCCCCCTCCACTTGGCATGAAGGTGCTGACCCACTTTGTGAGTCAGGGGTTCTGTCCCCCTGGACACTCTCATTGTTCGATTTCCTTTGGGAGACGAAAGGAAAGGTCTCTGGCACAGTTCTGCTGGTGCTTTTTCCCTCTTTGCTAGCACTGCTAGGGGCCTGTGGGGCAGCTTCTTTCTCCTTGGCACCTCCAGTGCACTGTTTCTGGGATGGTGCCAGTTTTTCTAAGGGTTTAGACTTTGGAGGGCAGGCCTCAGGTGCAGGTTTGAGCTTGTGGCTGCTGCTTTCCACCTGGGCCGTAGCTGGCTTGACAGAAGCATCAGGGAGGCCCAAGGCCACCTCTGATGCACAGGTCCTAGAAACAGGCTCCCTCACTGAAGGGAGAATGGGTGAACTGAGCTGCTGCTGAGTCACCACACTAGGGGAGTCCTTGGAGGCCAGTGAAGGCTGGAGACTGCTGACCTGTTTCTGAAAAGCTGAATCTTTTCTTTCCGCTTCTTTGGGACTGTCTTTCTGTAAAGAGGGAAAACCCAGGGCTTTTTCATTCTTGGTGTTACTGACTCCTGGAAGCTGGCCAGACCTTTTTGGGAGAGAAACCTCAGGCTTCAGGTCCACGCTGGTTTTCTGCTTGCTTATTTCCCTCTCACCAGGAATCCTGGAGGAGCGAACATCCTCTTTGGTGGGCACCTTAGTTATTTCTTTCCCTTCTTTGGAATCGGCTTTCCCACCAACACCCCTAAGTTTCTCCACTGCACGTGGCTGAGTGGAAAAGTCGGGGCCGGCTCGGATCCCAGAAGCATTGTTTCCAAAGCTACTAGCTTTCGGAGTCTCTGTGGACAAATGCTCCATAAAAGATTCTCTGGCAATCTCTGCCCTCACTGTTGTCAGCGGCTCGCTGCTTCTCGAGGTCACTGGATACTTCCCAGGTGGTTCCCGGTGGTTCTGCCTCTCTCTTCCAGGGTTACTGTCAGAACTGAGGAACCCTAGGGGTGCCACTGGCTTAGGACCAGCCATGGCATTCTGACTGGAGGAGGTAAGGAGTTTGGCATCAGCCGTGTGGTCTCGCCTCTTTGACGGGAGCTCCTCTCTCTTATGATTACTTTCACTGATGGGGGTGTGGTTTCGTACAGCTGAATGGGAGACCCTTCTCTCCTTTTCCAGTTCTGGGGCTGCTGGTATGCTTGCAAATCCCTTGTTGGGCTGCTGAAATCGGGGTTCCAGAAGGTAGGATTTGTTCATCTTTACACAAGTCACTGGGGGCTCCTTCTGACTGGGAGTTTCACCCTTCATGGAACCTACAGACAGAGCTGGTGACACAAAAGGTCCCAGGTCACTACTGAGGTGATGGGTCTCTGTGGAAGCCGGTGATGGCCCTTCTGTCTTGGAAGCCTGAGGCCCTGATAATAAAGCAATGTCCAGGGTGCCCTCAATAGGCTTCAGACAAGAGACAGACCTGCCTTCCAGTTTGTATTCTGACGGACTTTTCCTGACTGGGGACTCGGGAGGGATCAAGGTTGGCTTTTCCATCCCACCTTCTGCTCGACCAGTCAGAGCCTTGAGAGGAACAAAAGCCGTCGAACTTATCTGCACTCCATGAGCACTGCCGATGACCGTCCGGCTCTCTGAGACCGGAGTGGGATCCTGCTGCATATTTATAGGCCTTGTGGTGTTCAGCTGAAGGCATTCATGGACATTTGATGTAAGCTTCGGTTTCAGCACGGAACTGAGGCTGTCATCTTTCTCCTCAAAGGACATCTTCTTCCGAAGGTAATCGATATTTGTAAGCTTGCCATCAAATTTTTCAAACTTGCTGAATTCTTTTGCCTGGCTGGCCTTCTCGACACCATCCCCTTTCCCACCGGCCAGCCTCTCTGCTGGGTGTGCGAGCATGTCTTGCAGCAGGCATGGGGGAGGCAGCCTTTTGTGCTCATGAGAGCTCAGGCTATGCTCGCTAAGTGGAAGTCTGTGGCAGACCCCCTGGGCGTCCAATGGCAGACCATCGCCAGACTTCACACCAGCAGCGTTCTTGTGAAGTAGGCTGCTGACGGATAGTGATGACAATGACGTTGTCTCCTGCATTGCTACTCTGTTGTCAAAATTACTTGATCTCTCCAAAGTCTTTTGATATGTTTTCTTCTCTCTTTCTTCCAGCCTCAAGGTCGCGAGGTTTTCCAAATCGCTGCATGGTTCATGGGATTTCTGCAGGGACTCTTGCTTCTCAGGGAAGTCTTGCTTCTTTGTCACCACCTTGGCTTTCAGTTTCTCTCTGTCCAGTTCCTCCACGGACTCCTGCCTTCCCAGCTTTCTTGAGATGGGGCGTTTCAGGCAGCCTTGTTCCACAGGCCTGGCTCGGGTGAGGGAAGGAGCATCACACACATTCTCCTCCAGGCTCTGGAGCATCGTGTCTCTTTGAGACTGCTCCCGCTGCACCTCTTCCTGAGTCACCTCCAGGCTGTGCTTCCGAGAACAGAGATGCTTCTTGTCACTGCCATAGGAAGGGGAGAGTTTTTCTTCAGACTGGACTCTTTTGAGCAGAGGGGACCTTGGTGGCTCAGCACTCTTGGGCCTCACAATATGTCTGACGATCGTGGGTGGGGAATGCATTTTGCTGGGAAAGGCCTGTACGATCTTGGAATTGCCAAGGGAATGCCCCAGCAAGGGGGACGGTGACCGCTGAGGGGAGGGAGGCTGCGGGGTTGGAGAAGGTGTCCTGGCCAGTGGGGAAAGTGGAATGCTGCCAGCTGATTTACGTCTCCCTGACCGGTATCTTTGTCCACTGAGTTTGGGTGCCAAGCCATGAAGAGTGCTGGGCCTAATGTGCCCAGAACCAGCTGGAGAATTAGGGGCACTGGAGCTTGGAGAGCTGCTCTGGGAGGAATTAGTACCTGTAGGCATAAAAAGCAAAGATCTTGTGAGAACCAAAAGCCCACTTTTCAAAAGCCCTCTGTTCTTTTTTTTTTTTTTTTTTTGGCAACTAAGGTTAAGTGACTTGCCCAGGGTCACACAGCTAGTAAGTGTCAAGAGTTTGGTCTGAGGCCAAATTTGAACTCGGGTTCTCCTGACTTCAGGGCCGGTGCTCTATCCACTGTGCCACCTAGCTGCCCCCCACATCTCTGTTCTACAGAGCATTCTGGGTATGTGGTCAATGAACTAGTCAAGGATTTAGTTACCCTAATTAAAAATCTGTTTTCCAATTTTTAAGTTAAATCTGTTTATACCCAAAATATAATGCCTTATTCTTAGTAGCTTTATAATGTTCATTATGTCAATAACAATTTTTAGTCAATTTCTTTTGTTTTCCCATAACCTGTAATTCCCATATAGTAAGAAATTCCCCTTAATTAATGCCAGTCAGCACCTTCTCTGAAACTGCCAGCACCTCCACTTTACACATCCCTACCCTACTCCCCCAAACAGCTATTCCCTTTGACTAGGGATTTTAATAAGAGAAAAAATAAGTTTGGCAAAACTGATCAACTTATCAAAACTGTCTAATGTAATATGTAGTGTTTCAGACCCATAGTCCCTCACCTCTGTAAAGGCCCACTATTATTTTTAGCAATATTTTTAAAATATCTTATTTCATATCACAAGTCTAATCAGCTTTCTTTATTTGGCAACACAGCAGGGCCTATTCAATCTTCCTCCTCAATATTTTTCCCTAATTACATGTAATAACAATTTTACATACTATTTTTTGTTTTGGTTTTTGTGGTGAGGCAACTGGGGTTAAGTGACTTGGCCACGGTCACACAGCTACTAAGTGTTATGTGTCTGAGGTCACATTTGAACTCAGGTCCTCCTGATTCCAGGGCTGGTGCTCTATCCACTGCGCCACCTAGCTGCCCCTTATTTTATATACTAATTTATTTTTTCCTTAATTACATGTTAAAACAATTTTTAAACTTTTTTTTTCAAGTTTTGAGTTTCAAATTCTATTCCCTCTCCCTTCCCTGAGATGGTAAGCAATCTGATACAGGTTATACATATGCAATCATGTAAAACATTTCCACTTTCATCATTTTGTAACAATAAGATTTAACATTTTTTTAAATTTTGAGTTCCAAATTCTCCCCCTCCTTCCTACCCTTCCCCCCTCACTGAGAACACAAGCAATTTGAAATAGGTTATACAAAATCATGCTTTCTTATTAGCGGGCAAGCTGAAGATGGTCAGATAGGCCTTCTACATGCTTCCAAATGTTGTTTTTCATTTAGAAGAGGTAACTCACCAGATGGAAAGTCTGGGGTGGAACGGTAGCTCGGTGTAGGTGATCGGGGAGATAAGCTGTGAGTTGGGGACCCAGGGAGGCTCTCTCCAGAGGAAAGAGAACGGTTTAAGCAGGAGAAACTTCGGCTAGTGTGGAGTAAAGGTGAAGGCTGCTTGGCTAGCTTCTTGAAGAGGGATCTTCGCCTAGAGAATAAATAGCGGCAAATAAATCAGAAGACTTTGGGAGACAAATTCTCAACCAATTTTACTCCTCTCACACTCCCACTATCTTATCCTTTCCACCTGCCCCTTGCCACATAGTGTATTTAGCACAACCAAGTTAATAGGAGGGGAAAGCAGCACTGGGGGTGAGGAAGGGAACCTTAGCCATGGTAAAGAATAGGGTGCTATTTTCATTTCTGAAAAGCATTATTTTAAGATTTGAAACAGGGTGGCAAGGGGAAGAGGAAGAGTTATAACCTCCTTAAAACAGTGTGTGTGTGTGTGTGTGTGTGTGTGTATATACACACACACATATAGTTGAGATTTCACAGCTGGGTTCATAGACATTCTACATCTAAGAAGGGATGTGGAAAAAATGAAACTGTTAAATACATTCAATTACTTATTTGTTCGTTTCGTTAAAAGGGCATCCTTTGCTTCTGGGCATATATCCAAAAATATAAAGAGGCACAATTTAATTAAGAAATACTGCAAAGTAAATCCCTACAGAAAGAAGAGCCATTATCTCTACATGGGTAAATGTCTTTGATGGGATTACCTTGGGCAGGGAGCTTTATCCAATTCTAGGTTTGCCTGGTGCTTTTGGCACTGGGAAGCACTCAAATATGTGTAATAATGAGACAGGTTGTACATTTAAATAGTAAAAACTGGGAAAGGAAGCTTATCCCAGCAGAGCCCGTCTGGAACAGTGTCTGGTGGCCATGTAGAAAACCTAGGCCATGCTCATTCAGTCCTCCTTAGAGCAACAGGTACAGTTGGAAATACTCTGTCCATACAGCTCTCTCATAATATCAACCTTTGAATTCCCTATTTCTGATGTGTTTAAATGGGAAACTCCTCCTCCTGCCCTTTTATCTTAAATAAAGACTGAGAATGATGGGCAGGGCGGGGAAGGGCTGGACCTGTGCTTTCCTCCCTATACAGAACACCTGGGTGAAAAAACTCCCTTTGACCCATGCCAGTCAGCACCTCCTCTGAAAGTGCTAGTCTTGAAGAGTTTCTAAGAACTTGGAGAAGTCAAGGGACTTGCTCAGGGTCACACAGCCTGTCAGAGGTGGGATTTTAACCCAGGACTTCTTGGCTTTGAAGACAGAACTCTATTCACTGGGACAGCGAGGTGGCACAGTGGATAGAAAGCCAGGCCTGGAGTCAGGAAGATCTGAGTTCAAATATGACCTCCGGTACTTCCTACCTGTGTAACCCTGAGCAAATCAGTTAACCCCTATTGGGCTCAGTTTCCTTATCTATAAAATGGGGAAAATAAAAGCACCTGTCTCCCAGGGTTATTTCGAGGAAAAAATGAGGTAATAATTGTAAAGGACTTAGCACAATGCCTGTTACAAATAGTTACTATGTTAGCTATTATTTGTTAATTTTATTGGAGGAAGGGAAGAGAGGAGAGGAAGGATCACAAAACATAAAGTCTACATCAAATCCACCTTCCCCTCCCCCCAAAAATATGGACTACACAAAATACAAATGGAACTAACCTTTCTAGACTTTCTTTCTTTTTGGTCTTCTTACTTCGTCTTACCATCCGGCTCTTGTAGCTATTTCTTCGAGCTGGGCCTGTTTTGATTGATGTGTTTTCAAAAGGGGTTGTCGTGATTGATACCTTATTTCCACTCTACCCGAAGAAAAAAAAAGAAAGAAAAAAGGAGAGATATTTAAGAGTAATTCAGTGACTCAACCAGACCAGTACAAAGACAGGAGTTTGAAGATAATAAATGTACATATATGGTACATAAGTCTTAGCAAAACATTAAAATCACTAAAAACAAGAGTATTGTTTTCCTTTTTTTTCAACATGGAGGACAAGGAATGAGTGAAAGAGAAAATAAATGCTTATTAATTGAAAAAATAATAAAATTAAATTTAACAAAGGATACCATACCCTACAAAAAGTGAGTAGAGGGAAAATAATAACAACAGCAATATTATTAGCGAGAAAGTTGCTACAACCTGCCTAGCAGTTCAGTTTTCCCACCCCATTTTCCTGGATTCTCTAGCACTTCCTCTGCCTTCTACCCACTCCCCCTCCTCGATCCCTTGTACAAAAGTCAAGAATTCTCAGATTTTTGAATTTTTTTTAAACAAAAGACACCTTCTTCAAATCTCAGCAAAATATTCCCACTTGTTGGTGAAGCTTAGAAGTCTCTGCCAGAGCTGGCAGGTATGAGGGACAGTCTCTCTCTAACCAGCTGAGAGTTAATTGTATGTTTCTATTGGATGCTCTCAGTCAGTTCTATAACAAAAAGGCTTTCACAGGATCAAGGGACCAGAGAAATGCCTGCCTCAGCAGCACAGGGCTGGTGCTGCATATAGCAATACCAGCATCCATCTTCAGCATCTTGGTAGCCCAAGAGAGAGCTATGCTTCTCTAAAGGGATAGATGCTGATGGGTATTTTGAAGACCTTCTGAAGATACTTAAGGAGAAAGCCACAGAAATCGTGGCTTTTTATCGACAGAAAGAACTACACTAGTGTTTCACAAGTCATGAGAAATTGACTTAAGTGTTGCATCGTCTTTGTTTAGATATCACTTGCATATCTATTTATTATACTGTTGAGTAAATTGTGCATGGATACTTAAATATCACATGGGTACATTCAAAAATGAAGAAAGATCTTGAGTTTTGTGAATAATATATGTATAAATACTGTAACTTGCCAACTAGGAAGAAATCTGATTTGGAAGAAAAAAAATTATTCTAATTGAGAATTTATGTCTTTGTGTATCAATTGATCAATCAATTAGTAAAGTCATTAAATGCCTAATATGAGCTAGGGATATAGATAGATATACACACATATAGAGATATACAAAGAAAGTGAAGAAGTCTTTGCATTTGAGGGCTTTGCTTTCTACTGAGGGTTTTCAGCATGTTCAAAGATAAGTAAATAAAGGATAGAGATAAAGTGATTGCAGGAGGCAGGAAGGAGGGGAGAACAAGAGACCCCTAACACCTGAAGATTCAGGAGAGGTCTCTTGTAGACAGTGGCAGGTGAACTAAGCCCCAGAGGGAGCTAGGGATTCCAAGAATCAGTAGAGAGCAGGTAAAGCATTCCAGGCATTGGGGGAGGGAGGGAAAAGCTTGTGTAAAGATATGCGTTAGGAGATAGGATGCTACATACAGGGCATAGCAAATAAGCCACATAGGATGGTGTGTACGGGGTATAGCAAGTAAGTCAAAGAAATTTCAGTGGCAGAAGGAAACTGGAGAACCACTAAGGTTGAGACAAGAAGAAAACCTTTGGGACAGCTAGGTGGCACAGTGGATAGAGTGTCAGGCCTAGATTCAGGAAGATTCATCTTCCTGAGTTCAAATCTGGCCTCTGACACTTACTAGCTGTGTGACCCTGGGCAAGTCACTTAACCTTGTTTGCTTCAGTTTCCTCCTCTGTCAAATGAGTTGGAGAAAGAAATGACAAACCACTCCAGCATCTCTGCCAAGAAAACCTCAAATGCGGTCACAAAGAGTTGGACACGACTGAAAAACGGCTCAACAACAACAAAGAGGAAGACCCAGAACCGATAAAATACAGCTAAGTCAGCACCTCCTTATTTAGTCCATAGCATGGTGAATATAAGAAGATGAGACAGTCAATCCATGGTAAGGGAAAGAACCAAGTAACTCGAGCAGCTCCTTGCCTATGGATTGGTGCTCCTATCACAGCATCTATTCTGAAGACTGATCATTGTTGAAGTCTATTCAGACTCCATCCATTATGTTTCACGTCCCATGCTTTAGCCACCTAATACTTAAATATGCCTTTTCCCAAAGGTATTGAAGCATGAACATATAACTCAGAGCAAATGGGATCAAATATTACTTGACGCAGTAACAAGGACATTACTGACTCCATTAAACTAGGGTTTGCTTTGCTCCCATTCGTGTCAACACTGTGCCACTTTTAATACACATTAGACATCAGCAAAACTACCACTTTCTTTCCATACAAATTCTTCACGGAAAATAAATTCATTAAGGCTTTTTCAAGGTAACTCAACAGAAAAAAATTTACTTAACTCAAGAAACTCCCCCCCCCAAGAAAAAAGCTTATACTTGTATAGTTGTTGCATAGTTGAATAAAAGTACATTGCTTAACTTCAATGACAACTTCACAAGGTAGGGGACCTTAGCAAAGAACAGCAATAAGAACTCACTTTGAGGGACCCCCTCTAAGTTACTCATTTTTGTAAATTCAAATTTTTGCCAGGATTTGTGCATAAGCTTGCAGGAGCTGGTCAAAGCAGCCCCATGGTTTCACTTCTCTTTCACTTAGAAAACTTTAGGGCTCAAGAGAGAATTATGAAGCACGACACCTAGTAGATCATCTCATCCACTGCAAATGTCTGAGTCCAGATTATTTATGAATTCCTTGTAAGTGATGACTCATGACTCACAGTATCTCAGATTTAGGGGTAGAAAAGACCTTATAAGTCATTCTAGTTCTATTCTCTCTTACAAATGAGGAAAATAAGCCTCAGGGAAGGTAAACTACTCCCTGGAAGGGGTAGAATTCAAACCCAAGGCTTCTGACTCCACATTCAGCACTCCTTTAACAGTCGGCTTCCTGTACCCATGGTACTTTTGAAAAAACATATATATTGTATATGGCCAAATACAGAAACAACAAAAATGAGTCTAGCAGTCTGTTAACTTTTTAATCAATTCAATTTCCCATTAAATTATCTGGATGATTAGTATGGAGCAGAGGGAAATTATTGGTTTTCTGGACTACTCCAATAATTAATAAGAGTAAAGATAACTAATTTTTCAACCTAATTCTGCAACTGGCTTGTTATATGTGTTCTTAGGTCACTGAACAGCTGTATGTTTAAAGTAATACGAGCAAGATGCATTCATTACTAGTCAGGGATGCGTAGACATCACTATGGTTGTTGAGGACCAAGTAATTCTATGTGATGACAAGGGGCACATTTCTTAATCCCTGTGTGCCTAACCTGGCCCCTCCACATTACTTATTTCTTAGGGATTTTAGGAAGATATAATAAAATGATAAATTTTGGACAATTTGGCTACGCTCCTAATTTAAAAGCATGATTTTTTCACAGGGTTTTTTTGGTTTCAGTGAGTACTTACATAACAAAAATAATAATAGCTAGTATCTATATAGTGCTTGAAGGTTTGCAATTTCTTGTTGTTGTTCAGTCTTTTCAGTTATATCCAACCCTTTATGACCAAATTTGGAGTTTTCTTGGCAAAGGTATTGGAGTGGTTTGTCACTTCCTTCTCCAGCTCATATGACAGATGAAGAAATTGAGGCAAACAGGGTTAAGCGATTTGCCCAGGGTCACACAGCTAGTAAGTGTCTGAGGCTGGATTTGAACTCAGGAAGATGAGTCTTCCTGACACTAAGTCTAACATTCTATCCACTGTGCTAGCTAGCTGTCCCTAAAGGTTTGCAAAGCATTTAAATATATGATCTCATTTTACCCTCACAACAGCCCTGAAAGGTAAGTGCTATCATACTTTACAGATGAGAAAATTGAGGCAGGCAGAAGTTAAGTGACTTAGCCAGGGTCACACAGTTACTAAGTGTCTAAGACCATACTGAACTCAGGTCTCTCTGACTCCACGTCTAGCATGCTCTATCCTACTCCTGGTCCAATGCTACTTAGCAGCCCCTTTCTCATGTGGATGGGAGGTGGAGGGTGGGAGGTGGGAGAAGGAGGAGATTCTGTAAGATAGCTTACAAACTTAACATAGCATATACCTGACAGAATGGTCCATGAAAGCAGATATCTCTCTGTTGTTCAGTTAGTGACAGAGAAGCCAGAACCATCAATGGTCAGTGCTAACCACTAAATAACTGCCTTTGCTCAGGAAATGTCTGTCTCTCAAACACAGAAGTTTCAGCATAATTACACAGCTCACTGAGAAGATAATTAAACCCCTTGTAGCTTTTTTCATTTCATTACACTGATTCCTCCTCTTGAATTCCCCTTTTATGTACTTGGAGGCTGGATCATTGACTTGGGTTCCGACAGTGTGTAGTACTCCACAGCTCCAAGGAAAACAAAACAGCCTCCAACAAGTCTATAAGCAAATTCAGTGACACTGGGTGACTTGCTATTTGACTAGCCTGGTGAATAAAGGCTGTCCTGAGATGCTCTTCCCCAGTCGGGGTTTGGAAAGGAGCCCTGAACTGAGCCACTCTTGCCTCATCTTAAATATCTGATTCCTACTTGGGACTAAAATGGCAAATCAAAGGATTACAGAGATCCCAGAGCTTTATAATTATACAGGGTTGAAAGGGCTAGTGATCTTTTTTTTAAAAATATTATGTCACAAAGGCAGCTTGTATACAGGATAACTAGCACCAACAGAATTGTCTTGAGTGTTCAAAGACCAGGTTTTTCACATTCCTTCAGTCTTATACTAATGCCTCTAGGAATTTATTATGTTCCAATTCCATTAAAATAGATTTTAAGATACTCTATTATTTCATCAGCAATATTTGAAAAAATGAAAACTAAACTAATACATCATTTTGACCAATTCTTTCACTGCTATCAATCTAAAAATGGGGTTTGACCTATTTTCTCTTTGGTTACACCTATTTCCATAATTGGTGTTACGCACTCACTATACCACTACCATGACTTCTAAAGGCAGTTCTACTTAGCATTTGCTGATCTCATCTCACAGTTTTATTGACACTCTTTGTCTGGATTCACAGGAAAATCTACTAAGAAACCCAGAGTGTGAAGGAAAATGCGGCTTTTGGGAAGGGTTTCACGGCACACTAGACAGTACCACAAAATGGAAGGACCCTAATTAATAATGGGGCTCTCCAAGGCAGGAGTGCAGTCATCATAGAGAGGGATAGTGGGTGGGGAGTGAATGGGACACAAGTATCATCTGCAGCAGGATTTTTGGTCCAACATGGATACGCATACCTTTAGCAGCAGCTCAATGACCTCAGTGTGTACAAGGCCGTGCACTGGCTCTCCATTGATGTGAGTGATCAGATCTCCAGCCTTCAGTCCTGCCTGGTATGCTGGACTCCCTTCTTCCACATTCTGAGGGCCAAGAGAAGAGTACACATTTGGTAAGCAAAACCTACAAGGCCCTAGGAGGGGGATTCAGGAGAGAATGCTGCTTTTTCACAAAGGAGGGTCAAAGACTAGAGAACTCTGACCAGTGAGACGAATAATCAGGATTCCAGAGAACCATGGATGAAGCTGGCTACTTGTTTCCTGAGAGGTGATGGACTCAGGGTGCAAAGGGAGATATATTTTGGGATGTGGGCAGTATGGAACTTTGTTTTGCTTGCCTTTGCATATTTGTTATAAGGATTTATTTTATTTTTCTATTTTTTCCCAACGTGGGAGGTGGGAGAGAGAGAAAACAGATTTTTGTTCATTTTTAAAAATTAAACAAACAAAAAAAGTCATCCTATTATCCTAATTCTTGGTGCCCAAAGTATACATTCATTTTCCAATTCAATGAAAAATTATAAAATACCATGGTTCTTACCCAAACTATATGATGAACTGTATAGATATCACTGTCACCCACATATACTCGGATGGCCCGGATGGTGAAACCGTATTTCTTCCCTGAGCTATGGATCACAATGGGCTGATGGGGACTTGCAGAAGCTGCTGAGGAGTCCCGACTTGGGGAAGAATCTCGGGAAGAAGAAGGGTCGGAGGACAAAGAATGGGGAGACATCGGACTTCCCAGGGGAGAAACACCAAACATATCTGCAACAAAGAACCCACCTGTCAAAGCCAATTCCAATCATACAAAACACAAATAGCCATAATCAAGAGAAGAGAGAATCTCTTAATAGTCTCTGAGAAGAGGTTTGATTGAGTGATTGATCCAGTCACCCCAGACAAACCCACTTCAATGAAAATGGAAGCAAATAGACAACAAAAACATTGAGAACTGGCAGTGATCTAAAAAAAGACACTGTCAAATATAACTTATAATTTTGAAGATATTACTATTCATACTAATTTTCAAGTAACACCTTCAATTTAAAAGCATATTCCTCCTCCTCCCTTAAACATTTTGATAATAATGCACACAAAAGATTTTTTATTTTGTTTTGGGACTATTCTGATGAGATTCAAGCTGCTGGTCTTTTTATTGCTTTAATTAAGAGGAAACGAAGACATGTAATCACTTGTTTTGAAGCAAACCTAACACAATGAGCACTAGACAAGCTACACTAACAGCTGTCAACATTTCAAATTTTGAACTTAGCAACTTTAATAATGTTAATAGTAGGTTTTTTCCCTCCAAACCCATAACAAAGAAAACAACTTAGCAGCAGCTTTAAATAACATTTTTGAGTATCAAAAGACAGTTGTGATTATATAATTTATCAGGAAGCTCAGAAATACTGGTGCCTATTAAAGGAGGAACTCATTGCCATGGCAATAAAATGACTGGTTTTCAAGGTGTTACTCTTGACACCAATAATCTGATTCCACCCAGCTGAAAGAAATTCCAAGAAGTGCTTCGTTAATTCTCTCTGTCTCTGTCTCTCTCTGTCTCTCCCCCCCTCCTTCACTCCCTCCCTCCCTCTTTCAAAAAAGACTTCTCTTCCATTAAGGATAGGGCCAGTGCCTATATCTATGATTTCAGTGGGACAGAGAACTCCCAGGTGAGCAAACTGCTTCTACTAAGGCAGACTGTAAACCTCCCTGCAATTTGCAGTCTTGGAGAGTTGCCTAGAGCACTAAAGTCCAGTGGCTTCTCGGGGTCATACAGCCAGTATTTGTCAGAGGCAGAACTATAATCCAGTTCTCCTTGGCTTCCAGGTCAATGAAATACCTGCCCCTTTGCCCTATGGCTCTATGTTATTTCTTAGCTCTGTTTCATTAACTGTTTCATTAACTTCTCTGGTCTAACCAGTGCAGTATTTCAGTGTTCATGGTTTTGGAAACATTCAGGAAGAGATGCATTGAAATAGGGCTTTAAGGTTTGCAAAATACTTTACATAGATTATTTAATTTTGTTTCGTATGCAATTTAAAGGTATGACAGGGGCTGAGGGAGGGCGGAGACAGGTAGGTAAGATACTCCTCAAGTGTCTGGTGAGAGAGAGAGAGAGAGAGAGAGACAGAGAGAGAGAGAGAGAGAGTGCATATGTATATTTTATGTTTTTCCTGACTTCACATATATAATGCATATCATATTCTTTACCTTCATTTTGGAACTCAAAATTTTAAAAATGAATTTAAAAAAAAGAGTATTATATATATGTGTGTGTGTGTGTACATATATATATATTATATATATATATATACTTATATATACACCTACATACACACTCACAAACTTCTTTTTCATCATTAAGAAGCAATGTTACCAGTCCTGGACTCAGGAGGACCTGAGTTCAAATCTAGCCTCAAACACTTGACACTTACTAGCTGTGTGACCCTGGGCAAGTCACTCAACCCCAATTGCCTTGCCCAAAAAGAGAAAAAAAAAAAGAAGCAATGTGGCATCAGCAGATAATGTGCTAGACTTGTAGTAGAGAAGATCTGGGTTAAAATTCCATTTCTGACCCACTTACTAGCTGTGCAACTATGGACAAGTCACCTGTCTTCTCTTGGTCCAAGTTTCTTCATCTGCCAAATGTAGATGCTAATATTTGGATTACCTCAAATCAGGTAATACATACAAAGCCTTCTGCAAACTTTCAAGTGCCATATAAAGGCCAGTTGGCATTGTTATTATTATTTTTTAAAATAAAGGAAAATCTAGACCTCTGCTTATCCTCTTTCTCAATCCTTTATAGCCTAGGGTGCCACTCATCACCTGGAAACCAAACTCTACCCCTCTAGAATAGTGTGGTCACATCAAACCTACCTTTCCCATCAAGCACCACCACTGGGAAATACCATCTTGCTGTGGTTTATATAAACACACAGGAATATATTTTGCAGTTCTGAGTGGATATTTATAAGAGCAAACTGAACTTACAAATGAGCATGCCAATGAGCTGCAAATAAGGGGATCAAAAAAAGCACACACCAAGTTTTCCTCTACACTGGTGTGAATATAGAAAATGGAAACATTTGCATCCTACAGAGCCTGTATTTTTTCCAATACAAGCCGTCTGCCACGTTATTCCATTCCCATTTGGCATCTTTCATCTGTTCTTCTGCCTTTTAAGTCAGGAATGTTACCCCATCGTCCATTCCACCTCTGGAGATGGAGAGACATAATGGACTTTGGGGCTTATTCACTGATGACAAAATTAGGCTCCTGAAAAACAGCTCCCCAACAGAATACAGCTTCTCCAGATTGTACAAGCACGCAAATAGACTGACGACAAGTAGGGTGAGGCATCACAGATCAATAGACTAAGAAAGGAAAGTTTAATTCCAGCATTGTCTGATTCACAGTATCACTGTGTCTCCCCACGACTGTTTCCTCCATTGTTAAAATTAGGAAAATCATCCTTAGCTCCCAGACAAGGATACTTCCAGCTGTTTTGTGACATGTAAAAAATGGGTCTATGCAAATCTCCATATGTGAACTGCAAGGGTTCACAGGGGGGAAAGATAGGGTTACTTTCATAACGTATTGGCCTAAAAAATGACAGGAATTTAAGAGCTTCATTAAAAGGAAGGATCTTGATTCTTTTTTTTTCTTCCAGCAGATGAAGAAACGAAGAGACACACAAACAGAAGGAAATAAGCCACTAGGTGCTCTGTGGAAATGACAGGGGTCAGGAGACAGAAGTTCTGACTCCATTCATGCCAAGAGAAATCTCACATTTTGATCAGAGTTCCAAATGGGGTAAGAAGGGAACATGCACAAACCACAAGATTTCATGCTAATAGATTTATCTCTACCTCCTGGGATCATGAGGGACAGAGCACTGGCAGAAAGGGACTTTGTGACTTTCCCAGAGATTTTCTTTTTCTCTGTGCTTTCTAATCGCTGACGAGCCATTTGAGAAGCGGGTTCACTGGATGGCTTTGAGGAATTATCTGTACTGTCCACACACTCGCTCCTTCCATTTATCTGATCCAAATGCTCTGAAAAACTTCCAACTGTACAAAGAAGAAGGGATAAACACATTCAGGAAAACCATGGATTGTGGAGGTGGGGGAGAGACAGAGAAAGAGAGAGAGGGAGGGGGCAGGGGGAGGGAGGGGATAGCAATGGCTGGAAAACATCTCACCTTGCTAATGAGTTTATACAATGCCAGGAAAACATTAAAACACATGACTGATCTCAGCAAGGTGAAGGAGGAGAAGGAAAAAGAGGATTAATTCTGCCTTATCCGTGGATGAATCTGCCCCCAACTCTGGCAACTATAACTGCACTAGAGTAGAAAGGGGCTTGACCTGTGATTTCATTAGTATTTGGAATCCCCAGGTGAGGGAACCCCCTCTGCCAATGTAGGTTGGCATCTTGCCTGCAATTTGTATTCTAGCGCACTAAAAGTTGGAATGACTTGTGTAAAGTCGCACTCAGGATCTTGGCACCACAGTGACTCTTATCACGGAAAATAAGCCCCAACGAATAATTTACCTTTTTCATTTTCAAATCCATTCTATGTCATCTGTAAGGAAAATCTTTTCTGTTTCATAATAAACACTGCTAAGAACCAAATATTCAGATGCCCTGGGGGTACCTCAAAATCCACAGATCCAAAACAGAATCCATCATTCTCCCCTCCCATCTCTCCTCGAGGAAAGCTGCTTCTCCTTCCTGATTCTCAATTTCTGTTGATATATTCTTCTGATACACGGTAATCTTGGACTCTTCCTTTTCCCCCACCCTTCATAACTAGCTTCTGCCAAATACTGGGGATTTGAGTTCCATCATTTCTCCACTCACAAAGTTGCCAAAAAGGAAGCTCTCCCTCCCTCTCACCTGTACTAATGTAATAGCCTCCACCTACCTGGCCTTGCCGTTAACCTGCCCTACCACCCCCAGTTAGATTTAATGCTGCCAAAATAACCTTTCTATTTCATACTAGGCCACTTCTATGTTCAAAAACCTTCAGGGACTCCCCATTATCTGTAAGATAAAATATAAAATTCTTCATGAAAACCATTCCAGTCTCCTCTTTTTTCCACTAATGGATACCAATTCCCTGTTCCCCTTCTCCCCCTCATAACTTATAATCTGGGTAAGTCTTTCAAGGACTTCCATTTTTACTTTTCACATACATGTATGTACACACACATACAAAAGCCTACCCATATATACACACACATATGCATACACATATACACACACACAAAAGAAGACGAGGATATCAGTGTAATTGCAGTTTTTTTTCCCTTATATTAAATTATAGAAAGCTATGAGAAAGACCCTTAGAATAAGGGGTATAAATAGCTCCTTTATGTTAAATGACATATGAATTTGAGCATGCCTGTATGACTTTATGTGTGTGTACACATACACACATATCACATATAGACATATGTATTTATACAGGTATATTATACATATATATGTATGTTTCCCTCACCCTAAATTCCCTCTAAAAATAGAAAAAGGTCATTTTTCTACAATTTATTATTATATTTATTATATATAAATAAATTATATAATTTATTAATTATAATTTCTATAATTTATTAATGCTAACAAAAAGAAATACTCAACACGTTTAGTCACCTTCAGGACTACATTCACCTACCAAGGTGAATAAAGCTATTACGACAAGTTCTGATTTCCTTTTGAAGTTCCTTAGGATATGGGAAGATAACATCACTACCTATTTTAAATTTTACTTAATCATTACATATCGTCCCATTTTTTGAACTGAGGATCTCAGGCTTCATTTGCTCAACCCTTGTGGTAGCAGATGCTTAAGGAAAAGGTGATTTTTTGTCACTCGCCTTCTGCCACCAGGGGCCTCCTTTCTGCGTGTGATATGATAATGCCATGCTGGAGGGGGCAGAACGGATGGAAGGCTATGGAAGACAAGGTTACTTAATACATACTCAATCAGAGAAAGGCACGTTGTCTAGTGGGAGTGACCAGTCTCCCTAACCTCCCGAAGGGCATGTGACAACACCCCTTCACTTTTCCACTCACAAATTATCACGCCCGACTGGTCTTATCCTAATCATCGACACCACTTCCTCTCCTCCACAAGAGGAGATCTTATTTGAACTTCCATCGGCCACCATACAAAGCTCCTTTGTCGTTATCACCTTCAGGATACCCAGCCCCTGCAAGTACTTAAATCTCATTGAAAGCGTCCAGGCAGACTAAAAGTGAGGGGCGTGTACTTTTTAAATTGCTTAGTAGTTGAAAAGAAAATGTGACTAAGAATTACTTAGAGGATATTATATCCAGAGCTGCAAATGACCTCGGGGCCATATAGTGGGATCTCCTCCATTTATATATGATCTCAGCTCTAGAGTTAGAAGACGTCTCACGGTCCATCCAGTCCAACCCCTTACTTTACGGAGGAGGAAACTGAGAACCAGAGAGGTTAAACGATTTGTCTAAGGCCACGTGGATAGTAACTATCAGAGTAGGAATTTGAACCCAAGACCTCTGATCCTATAACCAGTGCTCTCTTTCCACTGTACTATATTACCCTGATATGTTGGTGTCATAAAACAAAAACCAAAACCAAAACCATCCTGGGAGTTAGGAGGCCCTAAGTTCAAATCCGATCTCAGATACTTGACACTAACTGTGTGCCTTGGCAAGTCACTTAACCCCAACTGCCTCACAAACAAAACAAAACAAAACAAAAAACTACCTCCCCCCCTTAAAAAACAAAACAGACAATAACAACACAACAGCCCTGACCCCACTTTTTTTTTGTTTTCTAAGCTTTATGTTTATCTGCATAGTTAATCAATGGGTCTTTTTTCATGGTGAAGTCTTGCTTACCCACTTATTTTGGTCTGATCTAAGGAAACTGTGTGGGAGGCTGGAGCTATAATCTTCCCCACAATGAATGTGGTGTTTTAAGTTTCATGCATTTCCATTTGATCCAATTTAATTAAAGGGCCAATGAAACAATATAACTTTATGGTACATAACCCTTTTTATGGTTTGCAAATAACTAAATCAAACTGTACTGCACTTTGTACCTTGGTTCAATCTTTATCTATTTAGATATAAAATGCATACAGTAGTAGCTAATCTTGCTGTGGCATTTTTAAAGCTTTCAAAGCACTTTAGATATCTCTCTTGATCTTTATAGCACATTTGAGAGGTAGATGCTATTGCCTCCATTTTATTTTGTTGGGTTTTTTCACTGCAGAATTATTTTATTCACTTTTTTCAAATTAAATTCTATTAAGGAACCAGAGAAGGAAAGAGGTTAATTGACTTGCTCAGGGTCTCATAGCCAGTATGTATCAGAGGCCTAACCTGAATCCAGAGCTTCCTGACTCCAACGCCTATAGCATAATTAATGTACAAACATACACACACAGAGCATCAGAGTCAATCCTCCTCGAGGCCAGAAAGATCTAGGTTCAAGTCCTGACTCTGACAGGTTGGCTCTGGGATTCAGGTTACGTTGCTTAACTTTTCAGTGCTCTAGGCGACAATCAAAGACTATGAAAGAGATAGCACCAACATGTAAAAGGGATTCCTTCACGTGGGAGTTACATTTAGAAATAAAAGCATACATCCAAGCACTGTCATAATACATATATGTAAACATACATATGTGTATATATAATATGTATGCATAAATTCAAAAAGACTATAAATAGCGGTAGGGTAAACAACTTCTTTGGGGCAGTGAGGTGGCACAGAAGATATAGTGTCGGGCCTTGAGTCATGCAGACTCATCTCCCTGAGTTCAAATATAACCTCAGATACTTACTAAATGTGTGACCCTGGGCAAGTCGCTTAACTCTGTTTGCCTCAGTTTCCTCATGTGTAAAATAAGCTGAGAAGGAAATAGCAAACCACTCCAGTATTTTTGCCAACAAAATCCCAAATGGGGTCACAAAGAGTCAGACAGGACTGAAATGACTGAACAACAAACAACTGCTTTACAAACCCCATTTCTCATCATATATTACTTAATAATTTTTTGTAGTAACACTGCACTTTAATCAACAGACAACGAATACAAGATTTCTTATAATTGAGATTAGATCAGATTATAAAAATCAGTAAGAAAAAAATCAGTAATATCCCTCAAACATCAAATCTAATAGATTCTTTTATATTTTTAATTGGCTAATGGATCTTGGCATCTCTATGATGATGTATTTTGATTTTGATTTTTCATGAATATATTCAGATTCAAAATCAATTGGCCAATGGAAAAAAAAGCAAATATGCTGTACCTAGTTGAGTATTTAGACATATTAGAGTTTGTGTGTATGTATTTGTCTCCTTCTCTCTCCCTCTCTTTCTATGACTCTCCCTCCCCCTTCTAGCTCTCCTTCTCCGTCTCTCTTTCTTTCTCTGTCTCCCTCCCTTTTCTCTCTCTTCTCTCCCCACCCCTCTTCCTGTCTCTCAACTTTACCCACTTAATTTATATAGCATTGGATAGGAAGTTAACTTTCTTGGCTACTAATAGTAGGTAATGTCACCTTAGTGTTCTCTGAATGTCAACACTCTGTGTGTGTGTGTGTTTGTGTCTGTGTGTGTTTGTGTGTGTGTGTGTATGCAAACATGCATGAGATGGTAGAGCCATATAAAAATCAAGGAATTTAATTTTATGGCAGTCACGGTCCTCTGATTCCCTAATTATCCTTGCCGATGAGTAGCTGAGCTCATCTCCATTCTGGGCAGCCCTTCAGGTCTTTGATTATATTTAGTGTGGGTATGGGGGAGAGAAAGAAAGGGGCTAAGGGAAGGAAGGTGGTTTTAATTTATTAATCTAAATGCATGGCAGGACTTGGGATAGAAATTTTCAAAATTATGGAAGTGATTAATCAAACCCTGAGACTCTCTTCTTACCTTCCCCACTCCTACTACTCAGTGGGGCTAACAGGGTAAGAGGTAATAAGCAACTCACCCATTAAGAATCAATTACAAACAGATGTAAATATATAGTGTAAAATAAAGTGGCACAATATGAAAATAGCAAAGAGTCCTATGAGTGATTTCAGAAGAAAGGCTTAGTAATAAGGCCAGAAAATTAGAATTAACAACCATTTAAAAAACCTTCTTGAGCTACATGGGTACCTCCCCCTCCCCCTTACCTTTCTTCCTTCCTTCCTTTCTCTCTCTTTTTCTTTCTCTTTCCTTTCTTCCTTTCTTTCTTCCTTCTTTCCTTCCTTCCTTCTTTTCTTTGACTTGCCCAGGGTCACAGAGCTAGTAAGTGTCTGAGGCTAGATTTAAACTCAGTGACTCCATGCCTGCTGCTCTATCCACTATGCCACCTAGCTGCTGCTTCTCCCCACTTCCATTTCTAAGTTGTCACCTGGTTGGTGAAAATTTCAACTAGCAGTGTTTAAAGATATCCAACAAGGAAGAGGGAAGAAGAGATATGAAGAGGACGGGGTCATGGGCTTCTAGAATCATAGATCGAGAAGCAGAAGGGGTCTTTCGTGCCATCTCTTTCAAGTCCCTAATTTTACAGATGACTTAGCTGAAGTCACAGGGGTTAAGTTCCTTGTACAAGGTCATGTATGTAGTAAACAGTAGTGTCAGCATTTGAACTCAAGTCCTCTACTCCCAAGTCAGGCTTCTTTCCATTCTGCCATAGTGGATAATTTTAGGTTCTTGGAAGGCGGGGTTATCAAGTTCTCAGAGTCACTTGTAATGTGAATACACAGAATTGGCGAATTAGACTACTTCATTAAAATAATCGATCCGGGTATGTTTTTGTTTCCTCAATAGATTTGTTCAATAAAAGCATAAGCTCCCTGAGGCTGGGGCCTGTTTCATTTTTGTCTTTGCCTCATCAGTCTTCCACTTGTCTAGTGCATAGTAGGAACTTGTTAAGTGTTAGAGAAACTGCATTCACTGGACGTTATATATGAATCAAGTTATTTTAAAACCAGACGATAGGACATAGCTTTGTTGCTGTTGTTCACCCTTTGTTTTTGAAGAGGACTGATGACATCACAGGGTGATGTCTTGACTTGTGCATTAACTGGATTTAAGTGAGGCAGAGTTGCACAAAGTCATCAGCCTCACTCTTTCCTCCAGAGTCATCAAAATCCAGTGGCAGGACAAAAGTCAGGACAACTGGTGACAGCCTAGGATGCAGTGGATGACCTTGGAGTCTTTGATGTCTGACCAAGCTCTAAGGGCTCCACAGCACCTGCTTCAGCCACCTTCATGGCCATTGGAACAAATTGTTCTCATCTGTCCATTCCTGTGGGGGAAGTCTACACATGCTTGGGGTAGACACCCCCTAACTCACTGATGGGCTTGAGGACTGTCAGTTACTCTCAACTTGGTTTAGCCTGTCTGCTGAGACAGCTTTACCAGGGTTTCCTTCTGTGATTAGGTACTTCTAAGATTGTAGGATTTCATGTTACAAGGGACTTTAGAGACTATGTATCCCAAGTCTCTCTTTTTTATAGATGAGGAAACTGAGACTCAACCTCACTATGCTCAAGGTTGTTGTTGTTTGTCCTTCATTCTTGAAGAGGACCATGACATCGGGAAGATAATGTCATGACTTTGCAGGTGAATTGGATTTAAGTGAGGAAGGGATGTGCAAGGTCACCAGCCTCATTTTATAAACTCAAGGATATAGTTTTAGAGGTAGAAAAGACCTAAAAGGCTATCTACACCAATTACCTAATTTTACAGATGAGGAGACTGAGGCCAAGAAAAATAAATTATATACTAATGCAATAAGGGTAGGTTAAAGGAATCCTGGGGTGAACTGTTTTAGTGAAAGCAGAATATTTCTAAAATGGAAAGAATTTCCACTCACTATATGCCCTGTATTTGTTTTTTACATTTGGGTTTTTTATGTTGGGTTTTCTTTTGTGAAATAAGATAGAACTGCATTATTGTTAAAAGGCATCCATACTGTACTGGGGACCACACAGAACATTAAAACGTGTTTAAAATTAAAATTATTAATTGTTTCAACTAACTTTTTAGTTGAGTCTTTGGGATTTTCCAAGAATATTATCATCTGAAAAAAGAGATAGTTTTAATCACTTCATTCTCTATTCTGATTCCTTCAATTTCTTTTTTTCTCTTATTGTTATTGCTAGGATTTCCACTATGATAGTGAAAGATATTGGTGACAATGGGCATCCTTGTTTCACATCTAACCTTACAGGGAATGCCTCTACTTTTACAAATAATGCTTGCTGATGGTTTTAGATAAATGCTTTTTACCAATTTAAGGAAAAATTCATTTACACTAATACTTTTCAAGTGTTTTTAATAGAAACGAGTGTTGAATTTCATCAAAAGTTTTTTCTGTATCTATTGATATGATTTTAAAAAAACTTTTATTATTGATGTAATCAATTATGTAAAGAGTTTTCTTTATGTTAAACCATCCCTGCATTACTGGTATAAATCCCACTTGATCATAATGTATAATCTTTGTAATATATTGTAATCTTTTAGCTCGTATTTTATTTAGGATTTTTACATCCATATTCATTAATGAAATTGGTCTATAATTTTCTTTTTCTGTTTTTTCTAGTTTAGGTATCAATCAGTATCACATTTGTTTCATAAAAGGAGTTTGGTAGAATTCCTTCTTTACCTATTATTCCAAAAAATTTATTTAATATTGGAATTAGTTGATCTTTAAATGTTTGACAGAATGCACTTGTAAATCCATCTGGTCCTGGTGCTCACTCAAGACATTTATATTGCATGCAAGTAAAAAGAGAGTTTATAATATTTTAGAAAGATAGCCACACCTGGGTCCAGTTCTTTGTATCATATTTTAGGAGGTACACTAAGAAGTCAGAATGTATCTAGAAGGGCAATCAGGATGCTAAAGGGACTCAAGACCATGCCATGAAGATTGGGTAAAGATATTCTGATACAGGGATATTCTGCCTCCAGAGAAGATGATTAAGGGAGGGGTGCGTGTGTGTGTGTGTGTGTGTGTGTGTGTGAGATAACTGTCTTCAAATATCTGTAAAAGAGGGATTACACTTGTTACAACTGACCCCAGAAGGAAAACACGCAAGGAAAACTCCTCTATAACTTTAAGAGAGGCATTCAAGAATCTCCGCGACTGAACATTTCACCACCTTGCCTCTGACTTGGTGATACAGTTCTTTCAATTTTGTCTAGGCTGCTTCTCAAATGAAAGATTTCCAGTCAGTCACTGGCCCACACTTGAGGCCTCTCCAGGCTGGTAGTGCCAGATCTTGCATCCCACTGAGAACCCAGGGTGGTGTCAGTAACAACCAGAGCTATCCAAGAATGCAGTTCCCTGACCCTGGATGGCTATTTTTGGGATACCTTAGAGGGCCTTCATACTGCAGGTGACTGGGGGTGGTTTGCACTAGATGACCTCTGATGACTTTTTCAATTCTAAGAGGCCATGATTTGATGGAAAGTAATAAGGCCTCTGTCAAGATCTTTATTTTATGAACAGAACCAAGGAGGTACTGTGGGTTCTAACATCACCTGCAGGACTCTAAACTGGAAAGAAAAACTTTCTAATGAATGAGTTACCATTTTAGGTAGTGAGTCTCCTGTTATCAGAAGCATCCAAGCAAAGACTGAATTGGCAATTTGTCAAAGTGATTGTGGAAAGGATTTTAACAACAGGTGGGAGGTTGGACCAAATGATCTTTAAATTGCTATCCTGTTCTAAGATCCTTTCCAAGTATAGCTTAAATGGTCCCTCCAACATCAGACCTTTCTGGATTGTACCCACCCCTCTCCTTCCCCTGCCAGTTATCAGCACTCTATCTTTCTAAATTATTGTGTATCCATTTTGTACATGTTGAAGACCCCTTCCCCCAGAACACAAACTCCTTACAGGCAAAGATTGTTTTGTATTTGTATCTTTAGCCATTAGCACAGAACCGTGCACATAGCAGGTGTTCCATAAACACAAGTTGAATTTAATTAAATGGACCTTATGAGTCTATGGGCAAATTTGCAATCAAATTCCACCTGAACAATCAATCATGCATTCCATCAGGGTTGATTTCAATAGTTTTTTTAATTTAACATTTAATATTAATTTTTCATTAAAATTAATGTCATCTATGAAAATTACAGCCGTGCCTCAAGATTAAGGTAACCCTGCTTCAGTATCATGCCAAAGACAGCAGCAGAGATGAAGATGATTAGGTAGGGTGAGAGTGACGCAGAACCGTCTGCTGTTAGGGGGCCCTTAATGAAGCCTGGTAACCGAGGTAATGCCTCGTCCAAGGCCAGCCCTGGAGATCCTGAGGGGAAAGGACCCACTGCCTAACCAACCAGATGGTGTTGGACTGGCAGAAATCTCAAAGCCAAACTCCTTACCGGAGAGCGTGGAGCTGCTAATGGTACTCGCGGGCGTGGTGACTTCAGGTTCATCTTGGGCAGACTCTTCAGACGGAGGGGGGGCTGGCTTCTCAGGCTCCTCTCTAGATTCCCTGGGGCATGCAGCCGGCTCCCTTTGCTCTCCCTCTGTCGAAACGGCCAGCTTGGGAAGTAGGCCCGAACTGAGTCTATGTCTGTTACTTTCCGTATCAGAGGAATTTGATGTGGATAACTGTTGCCTTCAATTACAAATAAAAAAAAAAGAGAGAGACAAAGAGACAGAGAAAGAAAGAAAGAAAGAAAAGGAAAGAAGGAAAAGAAAAAAAAGAAAGAAAAGGAAGGAAGGAAAAGAAAAAAAAGAAAGGAGAAGGAAGGAAGAAAAAGAAAAAAGAAAGAGGGGAAGGAGGGAAGGAAGGAAGAAAAAGAAAGAAAGAAAGGAAGGAGGGAGGGAGTGAAAGAGGGAGAAAGGAAGGAAGGAAAGAAGGGAGGAAGGAAAGAAGGAAGGGAAGGAAGGAGGAAGAGAGGGAAGAAAGAAGAAAGGGAAAGAAAAAGGAAGGAAGAAAGAGAAAGAAGGAAGGAAGAAAGAGAAAGAAGGAAGGAAGAAAGAAAGAGAAAGGAAGGAAGGAAGGAAAGAAAGAAGGAAGAAAGGAAGAAAGAAAAAGAAAGAAAGGAAGGAAGAGAAAGAAAGAAAGAAAGAAAAGGAAGGAAGGAAGAAAAAGAAAAAAGAAAGAGGGGAAGGAAGGAAGAAAAAGAAAGAAAGGAAGGAAGAAAAAGAAAGGAAGGAAGGAGGGAGGGAGGGAAAGAAGGAGAAAGGGAGGAAGGAGAGAAGGAAGGGAGGGAGGGAGGGAGGAAGGGAGGGAAGAAGGAAGAAAGGGAAAGAAAAAGGAAGGAGGAAAGAGAAAGAAGGAAGAAAGAAAGAAAAAGAAAGAAAGGAAGGAAGGAAAGAAAGAAGAAAGAAAGAAAAAGAAAGAAAGGAAGGAAGAGAAAGAAAAAGAAAGAAAGGAAGGAAGAAAGGAGGAAAGAAGGAAGACCCATTAAAAATATTGATTCTGGAAGAGATCAGGTAAAAAACAACCACTACATCTGGAGAAGATAATATGACCTGGAGGAGGTACTGAGTTAGACCAGCTGGGTCTAGTGGCTAGTCATTTTGTAATATTTTAAACAGGCACGTCTACCTACATTTCAGAGTACTCTGAACTCCAACTCAATGTCTCCACAGATGGTAGAGCTGTATTCTTGGTTTTATCTCCTGAGTCTTCTTTCTCTTCTCCAGGATTCCGGGTTATTCGGTCTATGCTGCTAAAAACCTAAGAAGGAGAAAAGTTTGCAATTATTAACACATGGTTGGTGTTATACTCTGTCAAGATTTGCCTTTTTTTTTCATGAGGCACCATGACTAAAGTCTGAATTCAAGGAATCTATGTTCAGAAAGCACTGTCTGAATGCTTTATGATACTTTCAGCTGAGGTGTGGGGTCAAAGAATAACCTTTTTTGCTGTTGTTACGAATTCATCAACTTCTCTCATCATTTCCCCGTATGAACTTTGTGTCTGCAAACAAAATCCATGGATGCTTTGGGGTTTCTAGGTCAGAGGATCAATGCACATCCTTAGATTACTTCTTAACCATAAAGTCAATCAAAAAAAATCAGAGAGAGAAAGAAAGATTTAATGGCCACCAGTCAGGGGTGGGAAGCAGAAAAATGAATTGGAATTGACTGTGAAGAAAAGAATAAATTACTTGCTTCAAAGATTTAGGAAAAAAAGACGGCACGTATTTTGGTCATAAAAAATCAGCAGTTTTTGTTTAGCTTACAAATCACACATACAGACTGTCAACTTTGAGCACTATGGCACTGAAGTCCCTGCAGAGATAAAGCTTGTCATCATGAGAGATCTCAGACTGCCTTTGGATAGCCGTCACCCTCCCATAAGGATGAGCAAATGTCACAAAAGAGGAGATTAAGAAAGCTGAATCAACCCACAGGGTTCTACTTGGATCCACTCTGTTAGCTCGGAGCAACCTGCAGCCACCCTGTAACAAACTACTGGTGGGACTGGGGGTGGGGGTGGGGGTCACGGGTGGGTATGGAGGTTGTGTATACTAAGGCAGAAGGCTGCAGCAGCAGAGTGGTGGAAAAGAGGGAAGCAGTGCTAGTTACTGGGATGAAAGCTGCAGGTAAAAAAACTTCATCTGGGAGACAGTTCTGCCAATCTCCTGACCCAGTCTAAGCTCTTGACTCCCAGATGTGGCTCCACGACTGACTCCATTTCTTTATTCTATAACATGATAGTGACCTCTTCTTTATTCAACAGATATTAAGTTCTTACTATATCAGAGGATTGCAGTTGTAGAGACAGAAAGAACCATCCGTCCTACTCTCATTTTATAGATAGGGAAACTGAAGCCCGGAGTGTGAGGTGACTTGCCCAGGATCATACAGGCAGTGATGGAGGCAGAATTTCACCAAATCCAGCACTCTTTCCACTGTACCTTGCTGCTGTGGTTTGTTGAGTTTTTTAGTCCTGTCTGACTAAATCCCTCCCATTTACGGTTTTCTTGGCAAAGATAATGGAGTGATTTGTCATTTCCTTCTCTAGCTCATTTTACATATGAAGAAACTGAGGACAACAGGGTTAAGTGACTTGCCCAGGGTCACACAGCTACTAAGTGTCTGAAACCAGATTTGAACCCAGATCCTCCTCACTCCAGGCTTGGCACTCCACCTACTGCAACCACCTGGCTGCCCTAATGTATATGCAAAACACTAGGTACTGGGCTTGGCATATTGCAAGGGACATGCATAAGATTTATATGGTGCTACATATACCAGTAGATGGGGTACTCACATGTAGGAGCGCATGGAGTATAATGGAGCATTAGTATAATGGATTATACTCTGCATATTAACTAATTTTGTAAGAGGCAGGAAAAAAAAAACTCTGAAGGTACTAAATGCTACACAGAAACTAAACCAATTCATTTGAAATGCTGGCAGCCTAATCTATAGAACTGGGAAGTTACTGGTTAAACCTGGATTTTGACTTCAAGCCAAATCACTTCACCTCCAGATAAAAGGTAAATGTGTCCTAGATACCCCTCCCTTTCTCCAGTTTCTCTTCTTCTCCCTCCACAACAGCTATGATTCTTTTCCTCAGGCACTGTCAGTTTGATTGCCTCCAAGCCTTTTCAGAATTCAACAACAGATCCTCAATTCTCCTTGAATCAAATAACAACTCTCCAGTTGGCCTTTGGACTCTACTAGAATTGCAGCATCCCCTCTCATTCCATATACTCAACTGCCCTCAGGTCCCATTACACACTTCAGCTCCTATTTGCTTCTTCAAACCTACTGATCTCATTTACAAACTATCACTTCTCTCCTGGAATGCCTCTTTGCTATGTAAAACTCACTTCTTCCATAAAACAACTCCACCAGGCTCCCAATCACCCCACATTGCTTTCTGCAAAAAAAAAAAAAAAGGCCTTATTTGATTAGAATCACTGGGGCATAGATTCAGAGTAGAAAGATACTTCAGAGATCTTATTCTACAGATGAGAAAATTGAGGCCTAGAGAAGTTAATCAATCAAGAGTCAAATCAATAATAATAATAATAATAAAAAGAAGTCAAATCAACAAACATTTCACAAGTGCCAACTTAGTGCCAGATCCCATGCTAAGTGCTAGGGATACAAAGAAAGGCAAAAAATCCCAACCAACCAAAAAACAAAAACAAAAACACAAAATAAACCAGATTCTGCTCAAGGAACTCACAGTTTAATGCATTTTCTTAGGGAGTAGAACCCAGATCCTCTAATTACAAATTCAGAATTCTTTGTCCTGTGCCACATTTCTGGAAGGGGCATGGAGATGGTATAATCTACCTCCTCCATTTTATAGATGACAAAACTGAAACCCAGAGAGGGTAATTTGGGGTAAGTTATATACTCTCAGAGTTTTAGTTCTGTCATGCTTAAAATGAAGAGGGTAGACTGAATAACTTTTAGGCACGGCTGTTATTCAAACCTAGGTCCTCTGGCTACAGATTCACAATGCTCTTCCCAGTGGACCATGAATTAATGATTATGTTATCATGTTTCTATTACTTGTGTTTATACTCTTGACAATCATTATTACAAAAAAAATTAGAATGTAAGCTCAAGGCCTTCCCTTCTGGTAAGTCCCCATGATACCTAGCATTCAACTATGGACACCCTTTGGATTCTGCCACATTGAGGGTAAGGGGTAATAGAGCTAAAGCCAAAAGCAAATAGAAGCACACCAGGTCATTTTCTCAATGTCCCCAGCCTGTAAGTGACTCTGAAAATAAATTATGAGCAGCTCAGATTTATAAAGTGCCTTCCTCATCATCACTCAGTGAGGCAGGGCGTGCAGATATCCTCATCTCTAGAAATGCAAGGCTCCACCTACAACAAGCAGCTTAATTTACAGTAGGAAAGACAATGATGGGCAACACAGAAAAATTTTCTCCCTGTGCTGTGAGACTTTGGTCAGGTTATATAGAAAGGCTGAGCTACTCTTCCAGGGAATGGGGAGGGGAGGAGAATATCTATCTATGTAACTATCTATGTGTATGTATGTATACATATACATATATACCTATATATGTATATTCATTTATGTGTATACTTTCCCCTCAGGAAGAACAGCTCAATACACACATACACACACACATATACACACCCACACACATATACACACCCACATATATATATATATGTATATATAACTATATATCATAACTATAATAACTCTATATATAAATAAATGTGTGGGCTTGCATATGTGTGTGTGTAGACAGATGTATATGCATATGTTACTGACAGGATGGACAGGTCCTCTCTCACTTCACGTAATTTAGGCATCACTCTATCTAGAAGCAAGCAAGTAGGATAAAGGGTCTTTGCAAAATCTTCATAAGCATATGCTTCTAGAAATCCAGGGGCAGTTCTGACTTACTTTTGAAAACCTGTGGGAACATGAAGAAAACTGCCGTATTTCCAAATTAAAATCTTCATCATTGGTGTCATCTTCTTCTTCTGTTTCCATGTGGTGATACTTCTCTGAACGAGCTACAGAGAAATGGAGGATGGTCAAGGTCAAATAGAACCCCCATTTCACATGAGACAGTTACTGTAACCTATTATAGGCTTTTTTCGTAGGGATTTAGAAGTGGGAACACTTTAGTGATCACCTTGGCCAAATGCCTTATTTTATAGATGTGGAAACTGAGGCCCAAAGAGCCTTGTCTAAACTTATGCATGTAGAAAACAGGCAAGCTTTGATTTGAACCCGAGATCTATGATTCCAGTTCTAGAGCTCTTCCCACTAGAACATACTGCTTTTTCAGAAGGCTCCCACTGTAATATCAAACTCCCGGATGATTCCTTTTTACACACACACCATTCACTACCATAATTTGTTACTTCTAAAAAATATAGTTAATATTTCCCCAAATACAAGTAAAACAATTTTAATATACATTAAAAATTTTTTGAGTTCCAAATTCTCTCCCTCCCTCTTATTGAGAAGGCAAGCAATTTGATATAGATTATACATGTGCAGTCATGCAAAACATATTTCCATGTTAGTCATGTTGCATTCACTTATATATTAAGATAATACATACTATCAAAGTAACTTGTGTCATCTTCCGATTCTAGCTGCGGGATGAATTCTGCCTTCTGTCTCAGCAAACTATTCCAGTCCAGGGAACGAAAAAATTGGTGTTGCTTTACTTCATATGCACCACCTGGGGGAGCAAGAGAGAAAATGAGGAGACTCAAAGGACTGAGGCAGATAGGAAGTGAAATTCACAGGGAGAGGGGGAGGGAGAGCAGAGAAAAGAGAGAAAGAGACAGAGAGAGGCATGGTCAGAGAGAGGCAGAGACATCCCACATTCTCAGTCCATCATCAGGACCAAAGGAAATAATTCCCCCAAACAACTGTCGGGAAGATATTTGATTATCTCAGTAATAATACCATGTGTTCAATTTTTCTTTTGTTAATTTTCCCCATTATTTCCCCCCCTTTTTTTCAGAGATCGATGATGTAGCTTCTGAAAACTACATTATGGTGAACCTGAGGAAGTAGGCTTAGTGGCACTACAAAGATATTATCATTATATATAAATAAACAAAAAAATTCCAGAGGAGGAATTTGCTATGACAGTGATATTTCTTACAGTGATAAAGATAACAATGATGAGTTCTTTTTGAACGATAACAAATGGGTAATGTAATTTCACTGGATTACATATGTAATTAGGAAGGAATTAGCGTCTATGTAGTATGAATTCTTAAGTCAGAAATAGTTGAATTTGTTTTATGGATTCATACAGTATGAGACTAAAATCCATCAAATTTGTGAAGTTGTAGACTTCTTCATGCCAACAGAGCATGACGGCACAATTTGGGCAAACAACGTTCTATATATTCAGTTCACGATTCAAAAAGAGCACTTGCCATTTTAAAGTGTACACTTGGCCTCAAACATTTAAAATATGTCCATAGTGTATAAAAACAAGCCCTCAGATTTGTAATGGAATCACAGAGCTCAGCTAGTTTACCTCTGCCTCCAGCAAATGTATGAATGAAAATAGCTTATTATTTCTCCTAAATGGCCACCTAGGGTAATCCAAACCATGGTCTCATTGCCCATGCCATTGAGAGAGTCTGTTTTATGTCTAATAATAATGTTTCCTTATTATAATCTGAACTTAGAGTTTCTCATCCTTGATCCACAACCAAAATTCTTCTTTGTATTATTTACAACCTTCCCTACTTACAAGTTAAACCTTGTTCCTCTTGTAGATATGGTCTTAGATTCCTGGAGAAATACCTGAATATTCTGTCTTCCTAGGATTGCTGTGAGGAAAGGCCACAATATAATTTTTAAGTGAAAAGAATAGGGAAGGAAGAAAACTATCTATGTGCATTCACCATGTTAGATACTACATGGAGAAGGAAGGATGGCAGTTTGGATATACACAAGTTCATGGGAGACACAAGCCAAGAAAGGAACCCATGGTTACAAAAAGCCACAAACAGATGGACCAAGTATAGGCAAAAAGCAAGAGGAACCTGAGGTCCTAATGCAAGAGGCAAATTTGACCTCACAGGTATCATTGAGACTTGACAGGATGACATTTTGGACTAGAAGACTGCTTTGGATATGTGAATAAATAAAAAGGGGGAGGGCATAGCGTTGTCTAGTTAAGAAAGTATATTCATATGAAGAAACATATGTACTATAAAGAGAAGGCATGATGAAGGAGATTTGGTTGAAGATTAATGGAGGGAGAAGCAGAAGCAATTTGATCTATCACTGGAGTATACCACAGACCACCTGGACTGTGGGAGAAAATAGATGAGGCACTGGGAAACAGATCAAAAGTACGGCAAAGAAGCATTATAATGTGGCCAATTACCGAGGCATTTGCTAGATATTTCTCTCAGAGGCAAGTAAAGAAGTTACTAGATCCTCTCCTTTTGAGAAGGAGGGACAGAGAGAGAGAGAGAGAGAGAGAGAGAACAAGAACATGGATAGGAACTATCCAGCAAATGTCTGAGGCCAGATTTGAACTCATGAAGGTTAGTCTTCCTGATTCCAAGCCCAGTGCTCTATCCCTTGTGCTACCTAGTTGCCTTACACTGGCTTACTAAAGTCTCACTCTAGTGCCTCCCTCATCTAGATCCTGTATTCTCAAAGGCCATGCCAGCACGGTGTGACCTTGGCATGCTAAAAAGATCTGGGACTTGCCAGTTCAGGATCACTTGAGCTTAATTTGCTCAGAGGGGTTTATCACTAGAAGGTTAGACACCAAATGACATACTGTGGGACTATACCAACTCATGAAGACCATCTACTAGGATGTGTGTGCGAGTGCGTGTGTGTGTGCGTGTGCGTGTGCGTGTGTAGTGACACTGACAGAATAAATCACTGATCTCTTTCAGTAGTTAAGCCTTTCCAATATAATTGTGTTCTCGTTAGCTTTATGTGGATTGGTAAAATGGGTTTACTGTCAATTAGTAGACATTTATTAAATGCCTACTATGTGCCAGGCACTATGCTAAGCGCCAGGAATACAAAAAGGCAAAAAGACAGTCCCTGCCCTCAAGTACCTTACCATTTAATGAACCTTTTGTTTACTGAACCTATTATTACATTATTAAAAGTAGCAATTAGTTCATGATGTCCTTCCTAGATCTGCAATCTAGTTCAGGTCTTTATCACCTCAGGCATGAAGGACTGCTGTAGTCTCTTTAGCCCAAGGTCCTTATTCCACTCCCTTCTCCCTTCAATCCACCCTGCACATTGCTACCAGATTAATCTTTAAGCAAAATGTTTGCATCATGTCAATACCTACTCAAAACCTTAAATGATTCTCAATACCTGACTCTTACCACCTCCTCCCCACTACACCTGGATTTTACCACAACAGGCAGTTTTCCCCTGAGGAACTTCCCTTGCCAATGATAATCCCTAAGATTTTTTAAGTCTTAGGGGAATGGTTAAACAAAATGTTTCACATTAATACGTTGGAATAATACTGCTCTATGAGGAATAACGAAAAATTCAGAGAAACATGAGAAGACTTAGATGAACTAATACAAAGCAAAGTAAGCAGAACCAAGGAAAATAAGATAACAAGACTATAACAATGTGCATGGAAAGAACAATAGCAAAACTAAAGTGACTGATAATGATAAAAAAAATTGTCCCCAAAGAAAAGATGAGAAAATACACTTTCCTTTCTGTTCTGCAGAGACAGGCGTGGGACATCACATATACTATCAGATTTGATTTACATGTTGGTTAGTTTTACCAAATTGCCTCCCCCCACCCAAGGTTGGTCCATCAATAAGCATTTGTTAAGCACTTACTTTATGCCAGGTACTTTGCTAAACACTGGGGATACAAATAAAGGCAAGAATATGGTCCCTGCCTTCAAAAAACCCACATGCTCAGGAAGAGAGGGTGGAGACAACAAGCAAACCCTAATAAGCATACAAGAAATATGAAAGTAAATGGGAAGGGCAGCTAGGTGATAGATAGAGCACATAGGTCCTGGGGTCAAGCGGACCTGAGTTGAAATCCGACCTCAGACATGTACTAATTATGTGACGAGGGGCAAGTCACTTAACCTTGAATGCCTCAAAAAAAAAATACAAAGTAAATGGAAGGTATCTCAAAAGAAAGGCACTACAAATGGGACATAAGGGGTGGAGGTAGGGGGACACTGGGAAAGGCCCCTTATAGAAGATGGAATTTGAGCTGAGTCTTGAAAGAAGCCAGGAGACAGAGGTGCATAACAATGTGTTACAACAATGAATGGTTTCACTGGCTAAGGGAGGGTGAAGGTACATATCTGGAGACGGTGATATAAAACCAAAAGACTTAAACAGACATTTTAAAAATTAATAAAATTAACTAAGCGGCAAAACTCTGGCAAATAATCAAGTGTCATACATCTCAGCAAAGGACAACCAGCTTCTTTGGGATCCAGAGCCCCCATGTTATCTCTAGATTACAACCAGAGGGTTTTTTTTTTAAAGGTTGTTTTCAGTTGACCTGGTCTCTTAGGAATCTCCCACTAAGACATTCCTTTGACTCAGAGGCATGTGGGAGGTCAGGCAATTATCACTGTCCTTGGTTCTTTCCATCACCAAGAAGGAAAGAATGAAAGGAAAGGACAAACTGAGAGGGAAATTAAAGTTAGAAAACAATACCAAATAATATTAAATGCTATATAAAAATAACCATGTTGAAGACCACAAAAAAACAACAAACTTCACTGTAAGAACCCAACTCAAGGAAGAGACAGTGTTCACAGCACATTAGAAATTCAAAAGCAGTTGAAGTAGGTCAATTCCCATCTTCCAGTTTCCTAATTACACTGAAATCTTATGGTGCTGTGACATTAAATTTCTCCCACACCCATGGTTTTTCTCTCCTCTTGTGAAAGTTTCTAAAACATCCATTATATTCTTCACACCTCATTTTCTCAGCTACTCCAGTCTCTCAGGCAAATATGCATTTACACATTTTCATGGTGCATTATTTTGCCAGCTAAATATGCATTAAATACAAGATGCTGCCCTCTGAAGTAGGGCGGCAAGCCTCCGGGACAAGCAGCAGGTAGCGCTCAGCAGCACCCATCACACAGCCGCTGCCCGTTTTGCAGGTTTTTTCCTGACAACACAAAAAGCTGGGGCCAGCTGTTTCAAATGTCTCTTTTGGGCTTCTGTTGAGGGATTAGCTCCTCAAACTGTCAAACCCTGAAAAGACCTAAAGTACTAGTCAAAGAGATAAAGAAGAGAGAAACAATCCATGAGCACATGATATATGTGACTCTGTTGACCAGTGCACCTGTACTGTCAGACAAATCCAACCCAATCAGGGAACTCAAGCGGACCAAAAGGACATGACAACTCCATGTTTCCAGGGGTTCCTGGGGTCAGGGGTGGCTTTTAAAGTCTGTTTGTGGAAGTGAATTTGTGCCCATTCAAACATTTACTCAAAAAAAATGGAAGAGAAAGGGAGCATAGACAGATACTTGTATCTGATTCAGGACAATCTTCAATTAACAATACTTGTATATCTCTCAAAATCCATTTACAGATGTTTAATTGGGATGAGAAAGTTACCCTGGGTTTTGAAACTTTTTAAGTTTATTTTTTTTACATACCACAATCATTTCTGGAGAGTCTATCCCTATTTTGAACCTTCCTTTGTAACAGAAAAAAGTTAAGAAAAACACTAACAAAATAATGGTGTGCTATTATTATCACTATTTTTCCAGATAAGGATACTGAGGATGAGATGACTAAGCCGGGATCACACAGCTAATAACTGTCTTAAAAAGAATTTGAACCTAGGACTTCCTGATACTATATTCAACATTCTAATCATTAAAAAAATGTTTCCAGGCTCTTACCCCATCTGCAATCCAATTTTCAGACACAATTATGTAATATTTATTTACACTTATTTTCAGACTCTTAAATTAGGTCTTTTGTTGTTCACTCACTTCCACCTCTCTATGACCTCATTTGGAGTTTTCTTGGCAGAGATACTGGAATATTTTGCCATTTCTTTCTTCAGCTCATTTGATGGATGAGAAAATCAAGGCAATCAGGGTTACGTGACTTGCCCAGGGTCACACAGCTTTGACCTCAGGTCTTTCTGACTCTAAGCCCAGCACTCTATCCAATGCACCACCCAGATGCCCCCAAATTAAATCTTACTGAAGGCCATTTCAGAAAAGGAAATGACCAAATGCCTAAGATCATTTGGGGAAAGAGTAAATCAGAGCACTGAAATTAGAATGAGGAAGCTCAGAGTTCAAATCCTGTCACAGATATTTACCAGTTATGTAATCCTTGGGTGAGTCCCTTAATCTCTCTGAGACTCATTTTCCTCATCTGTAAAATGGGGCTAATAGCAGGACCTCCCTCATATTATGAGGTCATTGTGTCAATCAAATGAAAGAACATACGTAAAGTGCTCTGTAAAACTGAAAGTACTATATAAATGTTACCAAGTATTATTATTACCGTGGGGAAATTTTAAAAAATAAACAACACTAAGTAAAAAGGAATGGAGGTATACAGTTGCTAAAACATAACTCCACAATCACAGCCAGCTTCTTTAAGGTAGAGTGGTGCATGTGCACATACACGCATACACATACACACACACACAAATACATGGCACAAACATCCTCTTTACTCCATCTGATGAGAAGGGAGACAAGCTATCTGTGTCCCAGAAACAGAGCTGTGGATCCATCAACAACATGAAAAATTACATGTCATCTTAATGGCCAGCTCAGAGTGAGCTTCAGCCCCCGAGCCCTCAAATGCAGCAGCACAAAGGCTTGCACTCTCTTAACTAGAGGAGGCAAGGGGAATACCTCCCAAAGGACAGTTTAAGGGGTAAATACAGACCACAGCATAAGACTTATCTGGTACAGTTACTGTGTTTTTTTTTTTCTTTCTGCAATATTTTCTAATATTTAAGAGTGGGGGAGAAGAGAGGAGAGTAGAGAGAAAGGAAGAGGAGAAAGAAAGGAGAAAGAGGAAAAAGGAGATGAGAGAGAAAGAGGAAGTATAGGAAAGGAAAGAGGGAGAAAGAGGGGGGAAGAGAGAGAGTAAAGAAGACAGAGGAGAGAGACAGAGACAGACAGAGAGGAGAGAGACAGAGAGACAGAAACAGAGAGAAAGAGAGAGAGAGAGAGACAGAGAGAAAGAGAGAGAATGAATATACAACATTGGCCATGGTGAAGAGGAAAATGTTAATGGAAATTATGGCTATCAATAGATTTATCTAGTTATCTGAGCTTGATCCCAGGCAGCTCAGCACAGTTATATCTATGGTTTTTACCATCTAATATTATTGGCCAATCTTTCCTCTTAAAGTTTTGTTGTTGCTGTTCACTTGCTTCAGTCGTGTCTGACTCTTTGTGACCCTGTTTGGAGTTTTCTTGGCAAAGATATTGGAGGGGTTTGCCATTTCTTTCTCCAGCTCATTTTACAGATGAGGAACTGAGGCAAACAGGGTTAAGTTACTTGCCCAAAGTCACACAGCAAGTAAGTGTCTGAGGCCAGATTTGAATTCACCAAGATGAGATTTCCTGATTCCAAGTCTAGTACTCTATCCACTGTGCCACCTAACTAGAGATATGCAAAGGAGGAAGAGAAGGAGCCAAAATAGAAAATTGGCAACATAATAGTCAGCTGGCTTTCTTCTAATTTCTTTTATCTCCTTAACCTCAAAAGCCTGTGCTTTTAATCCTCCTCCTCAGGCCACAGTGCTGAATGCCAATGATAAGATAGCACAGTCCTTCCCCAGGCTCTCATTTTCTAGTAATTAGTTCAAGTACCAATCACCTAACCCAAAGTCTGTGGGAAGTAATTTGCTGGATCAGATTACTTGTGAGCTTGGGAAAAGGGTGCCATGCCTTGAACTGGACCAGTTAGTTCTACTTTCCCCTGTTCAAGTGATTACTAATGCTTACTTTTTCAGGAGGAGAGCTCTGTGTGGTATCTAGGTTTATTCTGAGATAAGGCTCTGCTCTTGTTTACAGCAAGAGTAGCTTCTGTTTCATACCAAAAAAAAAAAAATGCTCTCTTTTTTGAACACTGCTCTGAGTCAGCAAAAAGAAAAAAAAAAAAGCTCCACAACCCATACACAATAGTATCCCTAAACATCGTTGCTATAATGAGTTGTCGTCATGTTCTACATCGACTAACAGATGTTTCCCATGCAAAACAAAACACAAACAAAAGCCTCACCATGTTTCACGTAGACGTTATTTCTTGCATATTAGCAAAAATTAAAACAAGTTGTACCCTAACCTGTTCCCAGTCTCTCCAGAGGATTCTGCCGGAGTAGCAGTGTAATCAGATCCTGGGCATCGGGAGGGGGTGCTTCATCTTTTTCAGGCCAATTGATTTCATCTACAAGAAAGATAAACATTTCTTTTTTTAAATGTGGATGACACAGTGACAGCAGTGGCCATCACTGTCAGCCCCAGGGAGGGAGTATATGTCTGGGGAAGCCCTGTCAGGATTTCATTCAGTTTCTTCTGAATACTCCAGAATCTTCTTCTATTTGTCTCTGGGCACCCATCTTTTCTACAGACCTGCTGATCACCTTCACACTGATAATAAAACAATATATGCTTCAATTACATTCAGATTAGTCTTTTATTTTATTTCACCATCAGGCACTTCTTGAACCCTCATAGACCCAGGATTTACTGGGTTGGAAAAATAAAGGTTAACACAAACAAGACTGTCCCTGTCCCCAAATCCTGATGTGACAGTTACTCCATAGAGCTTTCAGCGTTTAACAGAGCAAGGGTGGTCAGCTCTCTGGGTGAAAAAATTCTAAGAGCAAAAGATATCCAATTTCTGGGCTCACTCTAACAAAAAATCTGCCCCAAAGGCATGTTTTATGTTCTTCTCATAACAATAAAAGAATTTAGTGAAAAATACATAAGAAACATAGGAGTTTTAAAAGGGGGGGATGGGGGAGGCAGGGCAGATTCCCAGGACTGAGGAGAGACACTCAAAATAATCATAATTGAAGTATTTAAAATTTTGTCATGAATATTGTAATATTTTCTACATCTTAAAAAGCCCTTGCCTGAAGATGTGTGCGTGCCTGTGTGTAAGGAAATGCAATAAAAAACATGAGTTATTTCTGTGTGTGTCTGCCTCTAGCTTCCTCTGCCTGCAGTTTAAATCTGATTTGGAAAATAAAACATGAATATGCATCTCAGCCGTAAGGCATGGAGAACAAAGCCAGCATTTGCCGCTTGTGTTAATTAAACAGTTGATTCCCCTTGCCACTCAGGCCTTGGTATATCACATCAGAAAAACAGCACGGTTATAAATCCATAAACAGCTAGGATATTGTATAAAAGGGTCATGCACTGCAGACAACCCACAAATCCACTTCATTAAAGTTTACAAACATGCCTGGCTTGCAAAGTCAGAGACAGAGACTAGTGTTGGGATTATTCTTCTCCTCCTCACATAGAGAAAAGCTGGGTTTATTCACCTCCCTCTTCTTCCTATTGATGTTACTGGACCTGGTAGCATGGTCCAGAATAGAGTCAAAGAGAATATGGTAACTGAGATGTCAGATAAAACTTTTGGCATACATAGAGGCCATCTATATCTCCGCATCTGGGAAATTTATGGAAACAGCAGGTAGAAGAGTGAAAAATTCTGTTTAATTATCATTTAGTTTTGCCACAAGCTGCATGACAATAGTTAGGGTCAGCATGCAGGTTAAGATCTAAAGGTTATTGAATTTTAAATGAAAGAAGAACAGCTGTTACAGAAATAACATTATACCATAACAACCACCAATGAAATCATTAACAATCTGTGAATTAAATTTGCTTCCTTCCCTTTCTCATTATTTATTATTCGGTAGACATTTGTTTTAGGAGATTATTACATTTTGGTTAATGTCTTTATTAGCCATTTTCCCTTTGATACAAATAGCATCCCTATTAACCTTTTCTTTCCTGATATAACTTTCCTATTAAGGATGGAAAGACTGGCCCACAGTCAAATCATTTGTAAATCCCACATCAATTCCTTTAGTAAAAAATGGTCCACCATAAACATTGGATATAGTGTTCACGAACTTCTGAATTGTACATCAACACCATTTTCTCAGACTAGTTTTCAGCCAAATATTACCCTTGATATCACGAAAACTAGTTATATGCTTCAAAAGCAAGTTCTTTTAATTTGTTGGCTCGAGTTTTTGCTAAAGGTTAACATTTTAATAGCAGAGTCTCAGATACCCCTTGGATTTGCATTAAATAGCTGCTTCCCAGCAGTAGCTTGAAAATGAATCCTGGTGATATTTACCACTGATGACTTGTCCAAATAGCTCTTCTGGTGTGTCCCCAAAGAATGGCACGCATCCAACCAGAAACTCATACAGAATGATTCCCATGGCCCACCAGTCCACTGGCTTTCCATAACCCTGTCTCAGAATCACTTCTGGTGCAATATATTCAGGTGTCCCGCAGACCTAGCAATAATTGAAATATTAGAAATAAGTTAGAATTAACAAGATGATTGAACAGTGATTATTTCAGGGAAATACACACCTGCTCAAGCCACATGGCCCTGGATAAAGGGCTTAGAACATTAGATCAATAGCACCAAAGAAAATCAATGACTTAGGGACCAAAGATGAAAAACTAGATCCTAAACATTCCATTTTGTCACATTTGATTGAATTTAAATAGTTTTGCCTGTTTTAGCATATTAAATTGAAATATACACATGTTAAACTAAATAATAATGCATGCCCAAAAGTCCATTTTGGTATCTATAGAACTTGAATATTCCCACACCTTGCTTTCTACACGAAAGTCTGAAAGTTGAGATGGGTTTACCTTAAGTAACTTTTACAGTGAACAGATTGTGGGCAAATGGTAATGAGGCATGCTGAAAGGGAAATGGGCCATATCTAGGATTTTAGAACCCTTGATTGTACAATGCATCATGAGTTCCACAAGTACTCTGCTGAGACTCCTGAATTCCTTATAAAAACAGTTTTCCATTTGTCTCTCTCACAATCCCACTTGCGTACAATTAGATCATTCATCTTCCTAATAGACCATAATGTTGGAGGAGGGACACAGAGGAGGTGGGCAGTGGGAGTAGGGAGGAAGGGGGAGAGGGGACTGGAAGGAGAAAAATGGAAGCAATTTGCAGCATACCAAAGGTAACTTTTGAACAGACATCTAAATCACCAACAGAGATGCAACCACGGTTTACATTTATTTTATTTGCAATTCCACTGGTAAACATGGGAATTCCTGTAATCTCTTTTTAGAAGGGAATAGGAAGCACGCTTACCTGCTTGTCTAAGAATTCTCGAGCATCCTTCTCAATGTGACCCTCATAAAGATTGGTGGTCATGCTCATCAGTCCCACCTTGGATAAACCAAAATCAGTAAGCTTTATATGTCCCATGGATGTGACCAGCAAACTGTGAATGAGAACATACCAAATACCAAGATGATGTGAGTTGGACCTCATCTCAAGGTGGTTTACAACCATAAAAGCCAGCAAGTGATTAGACAAGTACAGTCAGGTAAGGTGAAGATGCCAAATACCATTTAGCAAACAAAGATCCCATGCCTAAGTACCTGAAAAATACATGTCCTCAAGAACAGAGGAACCAAGGTCTTTTCTGATCCCCCTAACAATAGGGCTCAGCTGGCTCCCTGAAATTATTTTGTACTTACTTTGCATATAGTTTGCACAAATATATACATGTTCTCCCCAATCCACAAAAGAATGCAAGCTCCCTGAGGGCAAGGATGGCCTATTTCTCTCTGCTCCTAGAATACTGCCTGGCAAGTGATAGGGGCTTAATAAATGCTTGTTCACTGACTGGCACATTAAGTCTGAGTGTGGAGAGGGTGGAGGAAGAGAGCTAGGTACAAATAAACATCTAAACATTTCCAATAAAGCTTTAAAAACACGGATGGTCTTTGGAAAAATAATGGCATATATTTCATCCCTCTAAAAAGCTGTGCCATTAATTTAGAAAGGGGAAGGGGAGGAAGAGGTGGTCACAATTCAATATTATATTTCATGTACTAGAACAGCAAGCTCCTTTGAATGAACCTTTGAGGAAACAGGTGACCCAAGGACTAGAGAGGGAGACTCACTATTGTTTGAGATTCCAACTTCTAGGTGTATGACACATTATAGGTCTTTACTACATATGAAGTTTCCTATCTGACAATGACTTGAATTTGCATATTAAAAGATATCTCACACTTTCAAGTTTACAAACAGCTTTTTCTATTGCCCCATTTTGATATTCATTTCTTCCCCTTGAACAAATGTGTTCCCCTCAAGCTATTATTACAAGCATGGTAGCTCTTAAAGGATTATAAAAATCAACATATTCATTATAACTGTTAAAAATAACCCATTCAATGAATAAGATGCCTATTATCTGAGAATTCATAGCTGGCCAGAGTGGTTGGCATCAGTGGGAAACATTTTCTTGCAAAAAAAAAAAAAAGCATACTTCTATATTTCTCATCTCTTTACTTTTTTTTTTTCAGTAAAAACTGCTTCTGGATCCATTCAGGGTACATACTTGTCTGGTTTCAAATCCCTGTGCACAATGCCATAATTATGCAGATACTCCAAGGCTAGAACTGTCTCAGCAAAGTACATCCGAGCCATGTCTACTGGCAAAGGTCCCATGTTTTTCATTAAGGTTGCACAATCTCCCCCTGTAAAACATAAGAAATAGTACAGGAACAACTAAACTAAATGGAATCTACAGTTTTGAATGCTAAATTCTGTAAGCACAGCTGCTTCCCCTTCACCTCCCAGGTCATATAGCATTTATTAAATGAATACATTTCAAGTAATGGTGTGTGTGGTTAAAATAGGAAATCAAAACATCAAGAAATTTTGTGGCAGGGGTCATACCATGGCACATCAGACGCATCATTCTATTCAAGACCTACTTCCATAGTGCTGTACATATGAGAGGCGCTCAAAAATTGTTGGTGAAATTGGACTAAACACAAAACCATTATGCAAGGTAGAGGAGTTTTTGTTGTTGTTCAATCATGTCTGACTTTTTATGCCTCCATTTGGAGTTTTCTTCACAAAGGAACTGAAGTGATTTGCCATTTCCTTCTTCAGGTCATTTTACAGATAAGGAAACTGAGGCAAACGGGGATAAGTGACTTGCCCCAGGTCACACAGCTAGAAAGTGTCTGAGATTAGATTTGAACTCATGTCCTTCTGACTCCAGTGTTGCCGTTCTTTCCACTATGCCACCTAGCTACCCAGAAGTAGAGCAGCAGTGTAATATAATGGAAAAGGGAGCCCAAGCTTGCCTTCTTGCCTCCCATGCTGGATATGACTTTGAATAAGTTACTTAACCTATCCTTGTCTCAATTTCCAAATCTGAAAAAGGGCAAGAATGACTCCTGCCTTGCCTATGTCATGGGGCTATGGTGAGGATTAAACAGATGACAGAATACATGTGACAAGGCTGTGTAAATTATAAAGCCCTATACAAATGGGAGATTCAATTATGAATCTCATAAGCCTTTAATTAGATTCTCATGGGGCTAATTATTTTAAAGCATACAATAAGTATTCTTTTGTCAAACTCAAAGCATCAACGGATCATAGAGTTATTCAGAATTTTCTACTAATTTTGGGAATAAAATGCTTGTCATAAGATATCAGATGGTGAAATGGGGGAAGGGGTGGGACTAATAATGAAGAAGCTTAAACTGTTGTTGCTATTCAGTCATGTCCAACTCTTCATGACCCCATTTGGGGTTTTCTTGGCAAAGACACTGGGGTAGTTTGCCATTTCCTTCTCCAACTCATTTAACAGATGAGGAAACTAACAGGGTTAAGTGACTTGCCCAGTGTCACAGAGCTAGCATCTGAGGTCACATTTGAACTCAGGTCTTTCTGACTCCAGGTCCAGTGCTCTATCCACTGAGACAGCTAGCTGCCCCAAAGTTTAAATTAGAGGCAAAAAAAAATCTCTTGGTTTAGGGTCAACTTCCCGATTTTTATTCACATGCATGTTATTTGGGGGTGAACCAGAGCCAGCTTACTTATGAGATTCATCTGTTAAATTTTCAGAGAGACCATTTACATCACAGCAACTGGCATATGGTACAAATCAGGGCTTGATATCTATTGTTTTGCTATCTAAAGACTTAAGAAAGTGATGGAGAAAGATGTTAATAATGAAAATGAGACTTAAATTGTATCATGTGTACATTTCCCGCCCCCCCCCAGCAGGTTTTTAAACAATAATCAGAACATCATTAAAGTCATATTGTATTCCATTCATAGGGGTTCAAGGCTTGTATTGTCTCTACATAAAACAGCTGAGAACAATATTGTCTAGGACCCGGAAAGCTACTCAAAATCAAGCCCTTCTTGTGAGTCCATAGTAAGCAGCTCACACCTGGGATAACTGATAATACCCTGAACATTGTCCCTTTTCCACCTCTACTTCTTATCCTAAGATAAAAGTGAATCAAAGACCTAGTTTTATGCATTCTTTATGATGATCGACTATAATAAATGTGATGACTTTCATTAATAATGGTTATAACTGACATGTATATAGTATTTTAAAGCTGGCAAAGGGCATTTCAAATATCATCTCTATGATGCATCATAGCTCTCCATATCATCTTCAATCCTATGACCTAGGTACTGCAGATATTATCATTCCCATTTTACAGATGAGGAAATTAAGGCTGAGACAGGTTAAGTAATTCGCCCAGAGTCGCCTATATAGTAAATGCCAAAAGCAGGATCTGAACCCAGGTTTTTCTTAACACAAAGTCTCATGGTCTTTGCAATGCCCATGGTCTAACAAAAGAATGGAAGGGGGATAAAAGAGAAACTCAAATCTGTAATTCGAGCATTGAAGACCAAAGTGAGAATGTAGTTACGATTACAAGCTATTAAAAACATTTCCAAATAGCACTAATTTCCCTTTATTACTGTAGATCAGGCATTTTACAGGCAATTATCAGAATGTAATAATTGGGAATAAAGCCATCTCATTGCTGGGCATCAGCTTCCAATTGGACATGGACAATGAATGGTATAAACACAGAATGCTTCCATCACATAAAAATGGTGGCCAGTGGAATTTTCTGGTCCAATTATATTTTCCTATGTAGTAACAAGGATTACCTTCCACATATTCCATGACCATGCACAAGTGGCGTCTTGTTTCAAAGGAACAGTACATGCTGACCACAAATGGATTTTCCGCAAACGTCAGGATATCACGTTCCACAAAGGCCTGCTGAATCTGGTTCCGGAGAATGAGGTTCTGTTTATTAATCTTCTTCATGGCAAACCTCTGCCTGGATTCTTTATGCCGCACAAAATAAACAGCCCTGCAAGCAAGCATAGAAGATGGGGTGTTCTCAGAAAAATTAAGAGTGGTACATTTCTGGTATTCATTAAATTGCAGTCACTAATTCCCCTCCCACCCCAATTTTTGCGTGTGGCTCCAAATTTCTCATTTAGGTCAAGATACAGCACATGAGACCACAGCCAGAAAAAAACATCCCAAACTCAGCAAAATTCTTTAAGCTAGAATTGATTTTAGGTTTTCCTTCAATAAAGGTCACACAGAAAGACATCAAATCCATCTTCTTTGCCCAAAGTAGTGAATGGACAATCCCCAGGTAGAGGAATTTTCCAATAACTAACAAAATGATGTTCAGCTTTTTTAAACTGAAAAAGAAAATCTGATATATAATTTAGCAGAGTTAGGATGGCTGAAGTTATACATGATGCTCTGGTTCTATCTAGTGCCTAACTCCCTAGCTCCCTAGCTCTGTTAGGTATTATTCCTTGATTGACTAAAGCAGTAATTTACTAAATGGTACCCTGGTGGTCTGAAAGAAATAATACAGCTTCTGAAAATGTCTGGCTTACAGCTGGGGAGCAGTTTCAATCCTGGGAAACTTTGCTGAGGATATCATGCAATTTTCATCCTATGAGATTTTCAGATACATGAGCAGTATGCTCGAGGCAGGGGGTGAAGGGGTGTGAAAAGGAGGAGGCCGAAGAGGTGGAGATGTGGCCAGAAGGAGACTATTCCATAAAACACCTTCTAATTTCCTTGTTAACTCACCACCGACTGAGACACACCCATTCTTGCTTCCACAGGAAACGCGTTTCCCAACATCAAGGCCTTGGGAAAGGTGATTAATCTCATACCTTTGTCCCAACTTAGAACTTGCACTTAGGCCCCACACATCCATGAATCAGGGCACTGCTTTATTACCCCCACCCAAATGTTAGCAGCACTGACTTTCCTGAGGCTAGGGGAAAACCAAAGATTAAAAGGACAAGTAATTTGAGTGGAGAGGGCTTTGAGAAAACAGTAACCTGGGAACTACATCCAAGAGCAGTGAGTATTTCTCCTTCTCACAGGACACCTCTCCTAGTCTGTGATTATCACACTAGTGAGAGCAAGTGAGAATTCTAAGGTTCGGAAAAGAGCACATCAGTAATTATTTAACTGGTTAACTGTTTGCAGTGATAGTTAAGCATCCATCAACAAATGAAAAAAAATATTCATTTAGATATACACCACACCCTGTCCCCATATACATATACACACACTCCCAAAACAAAAATACTATATGAGACTCTGTTCCCTAGGAATATTCCAGTGATGTGCTTTTCCTGGGAATTCTAATTATGTGTCCTAACCACATTTATTATCTGGAAAAAAAAATCAATGGCGACCTAAGACAGCCTAGCCTCAAAGTAGACATACTCTCTATATCATAGTTATGATATTAGGGTGAAATATTTACAGGGTTTCCAGTAAGCCCAATCTTAATTCAACCCAAAGTTTTCATCTTCCCTAACAAGCACAGCTATCTTTTTTTTTTTCCATTCACGCAATTGGCGAGCGGTCATTTATTTTTCCCCCTTCCCAACTGAATCAAACTACAACTTCCCTCACACACTTAGTCATTTCCTTTCTCTGTCTTCTAGATAATGGTATTCTTTCAGACCCGTATAGCATTTTCCCTCCTCTTCCTTGGTTTCTTTTCTTTCTACAATAATCTCATGCTACATATATTCCATTTTATTTTTCCTTTCTTCTACTTCATCCCAGAGAAAGCTTTGTTCATACCCACTCACTTGTGAGAATAAGCACAGATACAATAGGAGTAGAAATTAACTTGGCCTCCCCTTCTATCCTCAAATGCATACTGTACAATTGCTATGAAGAGGGCTGGTTTTTTATTGTGCTTTCTTTGGGATCAGCTGTTAAGCTTACCTGATAAAGAAAAAAAAAACATTTAACAATGAATTTATGAAGTAGCTGTGCTGAAAAGGAGATTATTTACTAAATATCTCAAGAAATGCCTTTTGAGAATGAACTGGTTGTGCTACTGTTCAACTCAAAAATGCCATAGTCTTGGATGTCACATTTAACACTTCTAGAAGTTTGATATTATGCATTTCAAACAGTTGCTACCAGTGAATATTTGAAGTTCATTATGTAAAGAGCTGTTTAGTAATATGTTTGATGGAGATAGCCACAGAAAAGAAAGATGTCAAGTATATGTGATGTTAAGTAAGAAAAAAGGACGGATATTCCTTGAGCCCATTTTTACCCTAATTCCAAGCCAGTCTCTCCTTCTTCCTCTACATGGTACCATGTAAGAAACTCCACATATATTCCCAGGTTTTCCAATCCTCAACCTGGGGGTAGTTTTTGTATGTTTTTCTCACTGGAATATTCTGACAATAACAATATTTAGAACAACAACAACAAAAAAAATTCACCAAGTAAAATTAATTCCACAGGTGTGCTGACATCCAAACATCCTAGAAGAAGACTGAGATGTTTTATTATTTTGTTTGGCTTTAAAAAATTTTTTTGACATTTCACAATCACTAAAATCAATTTGCTTTGGGAAAGGTTCTTGATATGTAGTAACTGTACTCTCTCCCAGGCAGCCCCAAACCAGTTTAAGTCAGTGAAATCAGATTCACTCAGATAAAGAAGAAGTAATGAGAGAGAATATCACAGCACTGTGTCTTGCAAATGTACATTAAGATCATAGATGTAAAGTTGGAAGGGACTTCAAAGGCTATGTAGTCCAATCCACTGGTTTTACAGATGAGGAAACTGAGGCTCAAGAAAATGAAAGGATTTGCCTGGGGTCATATAGGGTTATAAGTGGCAGAGCAAGGATTAAAGCCTACATCTTCTGTAGCCATCCTCCAAAGTCAGCTGATATTTGTCTAGTAGTGGCTTACCATTCTGAAACTATTTTCAAGTGGAGATAAAAAAAAAACTGGGTTCAGGACCTCACACATAGGCAAGGCTTATAGAACCCCAGGGGTCTCTCTAAGGTGACTCAATCTCTGAGTGCCTCGGGTGACACCCTAAGACAATATATTACAAACAGGCTGATGATCTTCATCAGTGGAGGGAATTTCCATGCTAGGGAGTTCCCCACAGTGAGAAAAGTGCAAGGAGAGAGAGAGAAAGAGAGAGAGAGACGGAGAGAGACAGAGAGACAGAAACAGACCCACAGAGAGAGACAGAGACAGAGAGAAGGAGGGAGAGAGGAGAGAGAGGAAAGAGAAGACAGAGACAGAGAGACATGCAGAGAGAGAGACATAGAGAGATGGGGAAAGAGAAGGGAAGAGTGAGAGAAAGGGAGGAAAGATAGAGATAGGAAAAGAGAAAGACTGACTGACAGATAGACAGACATATTTGCATAGCATGTTTAAATTTTGGGAAGAGATTTCTTCATAACAACCCTGTGAGGAAAGTACTACAAGTCTCAGTATCCTCATTTCATAGATGAGAAATCTGGAGCTTTGAGAGGTTCAATAATTTGTCCAAGATCACACAGCTAGTAAGTGCCTGAGGCAGGGTTTGCATTCATGTCTCGTAACTCCCCTAATCTCGCATTCTGTCTACTGTACCATGAAGCTAACCAATGGAAGGAATGATAGGGTCCAGAACTGAAAGAACAGTGAATGTGAAAATCTAGGTACAGAACTTTGTGCAAGAGTGCAAGGACTGTGTGACTCTTTGTGAGTTTGTATATGTGGGGCTGAGAATATATGAGTACCAATGAAGGTGACCGTGAAAAGCATGGACCTAGTGAGCATATGTATGCCTACACTGAACCAAAGAAAGTTACAGCTGCAAGGGGCGTTAGGGAACATCTAGTCTAACACTTCATTTTACAAATGAGAAAACAGGGCCCCCCATATGAAGTGGTAGAGGTAGAAGAAACTAGCTCTTCTGATTCATAGTCCATTCAGCTTACATACCCTTCCAGTATTTTCAAAAATGTGTGTACACAGGCAAAACACTTGGATTTGTCTACCTTCAAATACATCTGTTTTGTGTGTGTGTGTGTGTATGAGAACAGGAGGAAAAGTAAAAAACATAGCTTTTACTATTTTTTTTCCTTTAATAATCTTCTGTCTCTGTAAAGAATTTTAAGTAGAAATGACAAAATCCAAGTAGGATTGTCCAGTTTAAGAAGCAAGAAATTAATAGCCCTAATGAAGAGAGCTAAGTTATGACTAAGAACCAATCTGGTTTTAAAGCATAAACATGAGAGATGCTAAGAATATCATCACATCAACAATTGTTAAATCAGTATCAACAAATGTTAAATAATCTGCAGTTCCGTAAATTAGAGACTCGATTTTCTAATGTTAGTTGTCAACTGAACGCAAGGTTGAGAAAATCAGGGCATGTATTTTAGTCCAAATGTAGTTAGCCTTTCAGAACAAAGCATTTCAGTCCCAGGGCCACCAACTCCCCAAATGATACCATTCTGGAAAGTTTCTGAATGTGTTTCAATGTCAATCACCCTCACAAGTAGACATTGTTACATAACACTCAAGTACAACTGCCTAGGAAAACCTACAACAGTGAGAGTTCATCCACCCATAAAGTGAACCATTCATTCGGCTGGTTCACATAAGCATGTAAACAGCATCTTGAGTGGGTGATCCAATGGGTGTAGCTTCATTCCAACTTCAAATTTAAAATAATTAAAATGTAGAGGAAATCTGCTGGAAATATAATGAGAAATTTAATTTGAGAGGAGCCAAAGGAAAAAAAAAAGTTTTGGCTGGATGGTAAAGGCTAAAAGAGACAGCTTGTGAAGCCATTAATGACTTGGCCCACATCCTGGGTGTTTACTGATTCACAGCTTGTTTAACTTCTTGTATATTCCCAACCATTCCCCAAAGTCAGATATACCTCATCTACTATACAGTTGTTTAATTGCACTACAAATGAGTTTACTCAACCAATTACAACACTGAGTACTGCTAAGATAGGTGCTGAAACTTTCATAAAACCAGTATTCGTATATAGTCTTACCCAGTATACCACATCAAATACAATTTAGTTATGCTCAAGCCCAGAGTTACATTAAGTCAAATGTGCTCAGCCTTCTATCCCACTAATGAAGGAAGAAATACTCAAAGCAACAGCATCAAACCCAAACCAGGAAAAAAATAATTTACACTCCAGAAAAGCATTTCCAAAAATTCATTAGGAATAAAACCTTCAATTAGGTCCTTGAAGGAAATATAATACTCCAAAAATATATCATCAGAAAGCATTTACAAGGCACATTACAAAACATGCCCCTTGACATATTCCTAAAGATAAATCAGTGAAGCATAGGAGAAACTCACAAATATTTAAGTTACTTCACCAAATTTATGAAGTGGAAAATATTGGAGGAAGGAAAAAAAAAGGGAAACCAGCCCTCCTATCACAGCAACAATAATTTTTATTTCATTGGCTTACACACATAATAAAGTGCTATAAATGCCTGTGGAATAGTTTATGGCTTTCTATCTACAGATGGAACTAGGATTATTGGTTAATTATACTGGTGTCCTTTGATGGTCTAAAAGAAATAAGGCACCACTGATGTAATATCTTTTCCAGCTTTTTCTTACCAATTCATAATGATTCACCTAGCACTTAAAACCGTGGCCAATACAAGGAAAAGAATACAAATTCCTACAAAAACAAGCCAAGGGCAAACATGGCGATGTGTGCCTGTAATTGCTACTACCTGGTGAGGCTGAGGCCGGTAGAATGCTTAAATGTGAGAGTTCTGAGCTGCAGAGGAGTGAAAACTGTTAGGTATCTGCACTAAGTCTGACACCACCATGGTGAGCCTCTGGAGCAGAGGGCTACCAGACTGCCCAAGGACGGGGAATTAGCCCAGATCGGAAAAGGAACAGGTCAAAGCTGATTAAGAGTAGGACCATAATTCCTTAAATCTTAACTAAAATTCCACCTCCTACCAGAAGCCGTCTTAATTCCAGTATCTTCCCTGTGCTAATTATTTCCTATTCATCCTGTATATAGCTTGCTTTGTATGTATTTATTTGCATGTTGCCCCCCTCCTATTAGATTGTAAGCTCCAAGAGGGCAGGGACTATCTTTTGCCCCATTTTGCATCCCCAGCTCTTAGCTCAGTGCCTTGTACATAGTAGGCACTTTTAAGGTTGCTGTTGAGTCATTTTCAGGCTCGAACAACTCTTTGTGATTCCATTTGGGGTTTTCTTGGCAAAGATACAGGAATAGTTTTCCATTTCTTTCTCCAGCTCATTTGACAGATGAGGAAACTGAGGCAACCAGGGCTAAGTGACTTGCCCAAGGTCACACAACTAGTAAGGTCAGATTTGAACTCAGGAAGGAGAGTCTTCTTGACTTCAGGCTCCTCACTCTATCCACTAGCTGCTCCAGGAGGTACTTAATAAGTGTTTATTGAATCGAATTGAAATGAACAGCAATTGCACTTCCAGACTAGAAGAAATAGAGACCTAGTCTCCAAAAAAACTCCAAAAACATGCCTTCAAAGGGACATCATTACAGTGTTTTAGCTTGTAACTTAGACTTTAAAACATTCCAGGAGTGACATGAAGACTAAAATGAGTTGTCTGAACAAAGGACATGAGATAAATTGGATGGAAATTACGCAAAATTTAACTGAATCCTCTTATTTGAGCACTAGTCTTCCTATAGTGTTGGGGGTGGGGGGTGGAGGGGAAGGGTGCACACAGGAAGTAAATGGGATAATCTTAATGTTGGATTGCTGAATGCAATATGGCGCATTTATCCGAGATACCATCATTGCAGGAAAGATCTGACCCAAAGAGCTTTAGGCATTCCTCAACTATCCAATGCTTATTTCACTATTCTGGGGTGGGCAGATAAGAAAAGAGATATTATAAGAACCCCCTTTACCCTTAAAATCTGAAGGGGCAACTTCTAAGTTTATATTTATTCACTAATTCACTAGAAGGAAAAAAAAAGAGTTTTAACTTTACTTCACATGAGAAATCTTTGGTGAAAGATATGTTAATAAAGAAAACATTTTAAAAAGCCATTGCAAGATAATACCAGTTTAGTATAAGAGAATGATGGAGAACAAACATATAATTCTGTTACATTAAAGTACAACAGGAAGCTTATCTTGAATTACTCACCCATAAGCTCCATTGCTAATCAATTTGATTGTTTCAAAATCACTTTCCCGGGGTTTTCTTCTAAGTTTCAGTGAAGTATTAGAGCTCTTGAAAACAAGAAAGGAAAGTTAACAAATATTCTGACACAATGTGATTTAATAGCCAAATGAGTAGAAGAATATCATTCTGGGCTCTGTTGTTGAATATACTGAATTAAGAGTACTTTATCAAAAGGTATCTGTGAGGCAGCCTTTGAAATCAATCTGGCAAAGCACAAGTGCTAAACTTCAGGATGACGGTTTTAAATAGTTCACTCTCTCCTCTGCTCGTTACATTGCCTCATTTTTCATCCAAATGCTTGAAGAGAAAGGCATCAAGCTTTCTGAAGTCCATATCAATCTCCCAGACAAAACTGATCAGGCTCAGTTCACCTACAGGGAGCTGTTTGTGAGTATTTGATATCAAGATTTCTGAACGTATAGACCTGCTTCCATGCATGAGACAGAATAAAAATGTGATCCAGGGAATGGCTATAACAATGAGAACTGAGTTTTTCTACCCTTGACCAGGGCACATTAGTTGGCCTCAGTTTCTCTGAGCAAAATGATATTTGATGACAATTATCTGTCCCCCCACATAACTCTGGGAATGTCAGTGATAGGGCAGCCTTTGTAAGTACAATAACGCTTCCTTTATTTCTTCTAAACTTAATTTCACTGTGACCAAGGGAGCAGTTCAACATTAAAATCAAAGCCAATTAAGTACTGTCCTATTAGCACGTCGAGGTCAGCGTTATTTAGCCTGGCCCAGTTCTGGTGGCTGCTTCCATATTAGGAAAGAGAGCTCTGAATCTCCGCTCCTCCCCAACAAAAGTATTCTGTAAGGCCAAATAGAGCTACAAAACAGCCAATGCTAAGCTCAAATACTATATCCAGAAATGATCCAGTGACCCAGCTCATTCAATGGCCTCTGTCTCTAGTAGAATCAAGGATCAACTGCAGGGTTAGCAACCCTCCCTCCAGGGATCTGCTCCAATTTACCGACTGCTAAGACTCGATAACATGAAAGTATTGAATATCTTCCCTGATAGATTCATGACCTTATTGGTGTAGGGGCAACTCTTCATTTTGCATATCTTAACTCACCTTGGCTTTCTCATTTCATGCAAGTGTTGTCCTTTTTCTTCCATAAATCCTTCAGAGAAGATTCTACATGAAGCCTTTCCTGATCTGACCTGACCTGTTCCCTGCTAAGCTACTATTGCAGCCACTTTCCCCTCAACCCATATTCTCTTTTATTTATTGTATATAAATTCTTATATTTATGCAAGCCTTTCCTCAATAGACTGTAATCTCCTTGAGGGCAAGGAGTGTTTCATTTCTGTCTTTGAATCTCTATCACCTAGCACAGTCCTTGGCACCTAGTATGGTACTTAATAAAATGCTTGTAGATTGAATGACTAACAGGCAAATCTATCACTCAATACTCTAGAGACTTTCTTCAGGATCAGATAATATTTCATGTTTGCCACTGTGACACTTTGGGTTCTTCATCTCTTATCCTTTTCTCTTGCTATATTTCTAGCTTCTATTTCTAGTCACTTATGACAAGAATGATGTCTGTTATGTTATGTCTTGCATGTATTTTTTCCTTCACTCTTTGGGTAATCTGCAATTCTGAGTTCTTAGAATTTTGATATGTTACATGAAACTAAGCCATATATCATTCATGGGAAAATATGTTAAAATTTGTTAAAAGAATGCTTTGGCAATGGGGGTAACTTTGGGACCATTTAAGGTATTGTGCAATTTCCTAAAAACAACTCTTCCTGTTCTCATCCTTCTATTCATTTCTGGGCCTGGTTCATTATGCATCTGTAGTGCCTACCCAAGACTTAGATACCATCATACTAACTTAATGGGCTGGCTATGCAATGACTTGTCATAATCTAGACAGTATGCATTTTTGTAATGTTTTTCAGTGAAAGGCAGCCTAGGATTGGGGTTAGAGAGCTGGCCTTGAAGCCAAGAAGACCTAGATTCAAGTCGTGCCTCCAACACATACTGGTTCTGTGACCCTAGGCAAGTCACTTATCCTCTCATTGTTCTGGGCAACATTCTAAGACTATAATCTGCAAAGAAGACCAACCTACATCAGTAGAGTGAATTTTCACACATGGGAGTTCCCTTTATCAGTGCAATCACAGGTACAATCCCTCTTCCTGTCTCTTGTGAAGATCACTAGGCAAATCTCTTTGAGTGGTCACGAAGCCCAATGAGAATGTCCTGCAGCCTCAGTCTCAGAGCTTAGGACTTGATGCAATCAGCACAATGCCACATGGGAACAAGGGCATCAGGAAAATCTCACCATTCTGGAGAAATTCTTCTACATGAACTTTTGTAAAGAACCTCCTTCTTGACATATTAATTATTGTCATTGGCAAGTATATGTCTCCGAGTAATGAGTGGCCTCCCATTCCATAATTTAACAGTTATTTCTGTAGTTACATCTACCAAGGAATCTTTTAAGACCTTAACATATGCACTGGAGTCTTCCAGCTGTCATCTCTCTCATGGATGCAGGAGGGCATACTCTTTCACCTCAGATAAATTATTTTTTTAACCAATTAAAAAGTAAATAGCAGGGAGATCTATTTTCTATACATTGTGGTCAATTATTCGACTGTGAAGATATCATCTTACACAAAGAATCATGCAAGAAAGCCTGTTCTGTTCTCTTAATTTTCATCAGATACCCTTGATAATATAGTAGAAAGTGGAAACTTGGAATCTGGAGAGATCAAGGCTTGAATTTTGCCTTTGTCATTTACTAGTTTAACCACAGGCAAGTCACTGAACCTCTCCACAACCTCAGTGTCCTCATCTTTAAAATACGCATAAGAATGTCTATGAAGTCTTAACTTGGAGGATTGTTGTGGGGATCAAATGAACTAACATATTTGAGGTACTTTGCAGACCTAAAAGCAAGATAGGTCAGTAAGGATGATGATGGTGATGTAGGCATATAGGTCAGTTTTGCTGATATCTTCTTAATCACTTTTTTTGGTGTCAATATGTCTGGCCCCCCCCATTTTAGTGAATCTTTTTTTAATTTGAGATATTTTAAAAAGGCGATCTGAGTCCCTCTAAAATTGTGTTGATTCTCTGATTCAGTTGCTTTTCCCATCTTCATTTTCTAGCGTATCTAATGTGTTAAAACCCAGATGTAACATTTCTATTCTCATTTACCTGACACTAGATTATTTTAGAATTGTAGATAGATCTGTTTCAATTCACTTCTATTTGTTAGCCCCCTGCTTTTATCCATAAATGTTCTTGGGATACTCTGGCTTAGTTGGGTCTCACATTAAGCTTTCTGAAGGTTTGTTTTCACCTTCACTGTTTTCCTATTTTGTGAAATGATGTTGCTTATAAATTAGGGTTTATTTTTTCAAAACACAACTTTTACCTACACTAAATTTCTACCCTGACACCACAGTGTGGCATGGAAGTAACACAGATACCGAAGTAAGTAATGTACCATTATATCAACTTTTTGAAAACCAGTCATTTGCAAACCTAGCAAAGGGTACAAAGAAATACTGTGTAGCATAATTCAATTAACACAAAATATGTAGGTATTTAGTATTTACAAAGCAGCAGACTTTGCCAAAGAAAGCACTTACACTCACTGATTCATCAGTTTCTGGTGTTTCTGCAGTCCCACTATCATAGCTCCCTAGCTGTGCCATTTCTAAAGGGGAAAACAGAAAAGAAAGATTAGAACAGATACTTTAAAAGTTGCAAAAAGACAGAAGTGCTAGGCTGAAACCTGAAGGAGAAATTACATTTCTTACATGACAGAAAAAAGTAAAAATTGTAATTCCTAAATACTACAAAAGCAGAACCTTTGTTCTTTATAATTTTGTAATAGTTCACGATTCCTCCTTCTTTTGTCCTTTTCGTCATGTAAGTTTCCGCGATCTCCTCACTCCATGAAGATCCAAGCCCACCACCTGGTTGTGGGTATGTCTAGGCTCCAAAGAGCATCGTAAAGACTCTGTGACTTTAAAAACTTGCTGGGGACATGGAATGGGATTGAGATCAAAGACTCTCTATATCTGATGGGTAAGAGGTGGCAAGTTTTCTTACCTTCTCCCAGAAGATGCATTTACTACATCCCTGTGGCATCCATCTGAATGCCCCACTGAAAATAAACATCCATGGGCACATAGCTAAAATTATCTTTATGGGCAAAACAATCCACGCTCACCACCAGGGAGACATATGACATAGGCTGAAAATGAACATGCCACATATCCAGTGATGTACTGGTAAATGTTTCACAACTAGCTCTCTGAGAGGAAAAACAACTGTATGCATGAAATACTTTCGAGGTTTAATCGACATTATTAATATTTTCTCCATCACTTTCTAAAGTCTAGACAATCAACAAAACAATAAATCCAGCCCAGATTTACAGCCAATTTCTGAGGTATAAATGTTAACACTGAAATTTTAACAATTGGCTCTCAATAGGCTGTTGGTGCTGGCGTTGCTAGATGCCTGGCACCTGTCCCAATTCCACATGCCATAGCCTAAAGACAGAAGTCTGGTTATCCCTTTGCTCTGAATGAATGGATTCACAGAAGCTGTTAGATAACATCTAGTGTAGTGCCTCCTGAACCAATTTGGGAACAGGTTACTTTGGACAATTTACACCGAGAGAACCTTAGCGGGTGGTTTAGGGGAAGGGTCTAAGAGAAGAAGTTGGGGAAAAGTATGCAGCAAAGCAAAAAAAAAAAAGAGTGAAAAATTAATGAGGCATTTGTGATACATAAATTCGTATCTAATATTTAAGGGGAAATATCATTACAATTGACATTTTCTCCCCCAGTTTCTCTTACTTGTTAACTGACAGTCTTTATTATATCATACAGAACATTTTGGAACATGCACAGCTATTTTATAAATGAAGAAATGGCGATCTAAAAGTTAATTGGCATGCCCAAGGTCACACAGTAAGATAACAGCTGAGCGAGGACTATAGCCAAGCCCACCAGACATCTAGGCCAATGACCCTTCCATCGACACCACATATAAGTTTAAGGAGTCAGTCAATGATAGACTTGCAAAGGGTCATTTTTTAATATTACAAATCACTTTTCAAGAACAAATTTTTATTATTAATTATATACTTTAATTTTAAAAGTATTATCATTACATTATTATATAATAATATATAATATTATAATGTTATATATTGTAAAAAGATTTTATCATTATTCAAGAACAAATTTAATTGGCAATAGTTTTTGGACTATTTGAAATATAATATGCTAATGAATATTTCAAAAGTTACCTCCTACATCTTTAGGGATTACTGGAAAACTGCATTTAAATGATTATAAAATGGTAACTTTACATGATTTAAGTTAAAAATTAACCAAATTCATACTCTGGAGTAAATGTAATTTTTGCATTTTACCAACAAAAAAAATTTCAAAATGAGTATGAGCCAGGCAGAAAAGGTGAGTTTGAGTAACCACTTCCTGTTTTCTTCCCAATGCTGTCTAAAAGTGTCTAACAATATAAATGGTATGTATGGCTACAGAGCTGCTATCAAATGGATGTGGTTGGATCCACTCCTAAAGACTAGGTAAAATACAGCTATTATTTATTTGATGGTCCTCCTAAATGAAGTCATTCCTACCGACTAGGACTCTTGTTTACATTTTAATAATTTTGGCAGGTGTTGAAAAAACGGTGATACAAGGTGATGAAAGTTTAGAAATTGCACTTCAGCAGTTATATTTTAAATAATAACGTGGGTGGCTTAAAAGATCACCTTCCAAATTGAAATCAGGCATATAGAGGCTAGAAAATGATAACCTTTCTTTGACAAAAATGAATTACAGATGTCCAAAGAAATCCAACAGTGGCTTTATTCAAAATGAAAACAGGCTCACGAAGGCAGACAAGTGGCTTTTCGATTGCCAGCCCCAGTACTAAGGTTCAGTCTACGTGACATTTACCTCCCAGGGATAAACCTGTGAAGAACTAGGTTTATAATGCAATTGCTGACACGACCTTAAACTCCAATGGCGTGAAGAGTCACTATAATATATTTTGACAGCCTCCCCCACTCGAATTACTTTCATAAAAAAGAAACAAATTAAAAAATAGTTCTGTTTTAAATAGAATTTTTGCTAAATAACTATTATCTGGGAAACACATATTATTTATAAGCAGTGGGTAGTAATGGAATGGAACCGAGAGTCAGCTTTTGAAGCAGGGAGCTAAGGCATCATTTTGTAATGCCTGAAGAGATTTTTAAAACTCATCTAAATACCATTAAACATCTGCCCTTTTTATTTCATTGATTTGAACCATTTCTGAAGACTCATGATACAAAAAGGTAAAGACGGTAATTTAAAAGCCATGGGGAAAAAATTTCTCCCCAGGGAACTTTTCAGAAATGCAGTCACCAGTCTCTGATAAGTGATGAATCTGTTGTGGTATTGCTTTCAGTACAGTATAAATTTATCTGGCATTATCTCCCAGTAATGCATGCATCATTTCACTGGAAGAAAAGATACTATGGCCATAACAACAAACAAAGCAGGAGGAAATAGGAGAGATGGGTCTATAGCAGCAGGTTCCCTGGCTTCAGATGGGCAGAATCTTTGTGCCAACATTTACCACCATTACAAACAATTTAGCAAGATAAATACTGTTCGCAAATTCAGTCTAATGAACCAGGAAGACAATTTGAATGAAAAAATTCTTTCTCATTTCTGGACCTTTCTAGCCAGCACAAAACCTTCTGTTTTAATTGATGAGATCAAACCATGTAATGAAAAATGAAGGAAGTTTTTTTTTAAAGTAGTTTATTAACTGTAGTTTTTAAAAAATAGACAAACTATAGTTTTTAGGTCTGTTCTATAAACTGAGTGATTTAACAGAAATACCTCTACTTTTTCTATATGAAAGAAGCACAAACTCTTTTGAAGAAATATCCTTAAGTTTGATTGAGTTAATTCACTGTAATACTAGTATTTCCTTATTTTCTTAGCAAAAAGAAGCATACAAGAATCATAGAAAGATAGAGCTGGAAAGGACTCTAAGCAATAAACTGATTCAATCTCATTTTACAGGCAGGTAAACTGAGAACAAAATCCAGCTAGTGGAAGATCTGGAACTTGAACCCAACCTCATGTTTTAAGTTCAAGTCCAGAGTTCTTTCTATTATCTATTGTCTTCCAGTCATATCTGACTCTGTGACGCCCATTTGGGATTTTCTTGGCAGAGATAATGGAGTGATTTGCCATTTCCTTCTCCAGCTCATTTGACAGATGAGGAAACTGAGGCAAACAGGGTTAAGTGACTTGCCCAGGGTCACACAGCTACGAAGCATCTGAGACTAGATTTGAACTCAGTATGATGAGTCTTCCTGACTCCAGAACCATCACTCCATCCACTGAGCCACCTAGCTTCCCTTTTTCTATTTTACTAAAGTGTTTTTGTGTTGTATTATTTTTGTATTGTATTGTACTATGTGTATTTATATTGTACTATTTTGTTTTGTATTGTACTAAACTACATTTCTAGGATACAGTGACCCAGCCTGGAAATACTACACAGTACTCCTTACCTGGGAGAGACTATGTGACCTGAATCAGGGAGACCTGGAGTTATGGTCTGTCTCTGATTATGCACTGGCTGTGTAACCTTTGGAGAGTCACTTAACGTCTCATGCCAGTTCACTCTCTGTGATTAGAAGTTGCAAAACAAGGGGCGATATCCATTGGTAGTGGGAACTTCCTACCCTGTAGTTGTTCATATCAATGAAATCTCAAGTCTGGTTCAGGGATCTCCCTCTCACTCCCACCCTATATTTCTAACCCAAGAGTTATTTCAAAATATTCATTATATTACTTTCAATAAAAGTTTACTTATTTGCTTTATTTATTTCTGAAAGAAAATACAAAGTATCTTCAAAAGGAACCAATGAGATGCAGCCAGATTGTTGGATAACCAGTCAGAGAAATGTTTTCCTTGTAAGCACAGACATTTGGTACTAGGAAGGAAAAATACTCCTTTAATATTTAATATTTCAAATGATAAAGTATTGAAATAATGGCTTAACATACCTACACACACATCTCATTTCTTATTTACATCTTCCAAATTCACATGCACAGCCTGTGCACATTATGAATATGAATGCTTCTCTGATTGCTCTGAGCCTGGTGGGACACTAGGATGCCCAGCTCTGTCCATGGACACCCTAAACTGGAGGTAGTTAAAAATATAATGAGACTACTTTCTGGGTCAGCATGGAATGGTGACAGTTAATTTGGCTTGTGAGTAGAGGTTGGAAATGGCAGAATAGTCCTTTATGGAACAGTCAGCAGGTAATGGAACCTGGCAGAGCAGTGTCACAAAGAATAAAGAAAGCATCCCTGAGAGACGCCCTTTCCCCTTTCCCACCCGCTATACCCTGAGTGTTCAGTAACGGACATTTACCTTCCAAAGGATCCTTATTTAGTCCCAGCTGACTGATGATATACCGAGGAATGTCTGTTTTAATGCCTTGCCCTTCCTTTGCATGGCCTTCAGCGGCTTCCAAGAGGTAGTAAAATTCTTCAGGATCAAACTCCTAGTTGAGGACAAACAGAGTCAAGTTAAGTCTGAGCTGGTAGTGGGAGTTCTAGGTTCACGGGATCGTAGGTTTAGGGCTAGAAGAGCCATGGAGTTCAATTTCTTTATTTTAAAGAAGACATAGAAGAAAACAGCATAACAAATTGTCCAGGGTGAGACAGCTAATAAGTGTCTGAGTCCTGTAGGACTCAAACTCAGTTCTTTCTGACTCCATGTCATGCACATTAACCACCATGTCAACCTATCCAATCTCCTCATTTTATAGATGAAGAAATTAATGCACACAAACAGAAAGGAACTTTACTAATGTCACATAGCTCACAAGAGGCAGAGCCAGAACCCCAAATCTGACTCCCCAAGACTTCCACTACACCATATCCACCCTATCCCTTTTTCTCCACAAAGTAAGGTTCCTTTTCACCAACATTTTGTGTAATTATTGAATACCACACATACTTGACAGGTTCTGGTTTGGGCAATATTTAGAGGCATCAAAGGACTGAAAACATTTAGAGTTATTTCAGATCTTAGTTTAAGTTCCTAAAGCCTGCACAAAGCACACTTCTGTTTATTCATTATGTATACAATCTATAGATAACCCTCTTTCCCAATTTCCTTTGACTTAAAAATCACTATATTTACTTCCAGACCTCCCTATTATTGAAAAGGAAGTCAAAATGTTTAGTTACTAAGCTAAATCCAGCTCACTGTCCCACAATGAAATAGTCTGAACCTTAATTTCACTTCTTTGAAAGAATTGTAAAAGTCAGGAAACCAAAAGACTTTCTCTCCTGTAAGACCTGATCTCACTAAAAACTAATCAGTATATTAGCAAACAGTCAAAAAATGTTTCCTTATCATCTCCCAAATTATTAGCTGATTATTGCCCTTATAAAACAAAACTAGGAGAAATATCAAAATATCTTTTCTGTTAGCTAGTGAACTAATATATGATTAATATAGACATGATAAGATTCAGTAGAGGAAAATATGGCATACAACCTTCCTTAATACTTCAAGTTACTTTAAAATTTACGTCACAAATGTCTATACTTCTAAATATTTTTATACAACATTTCCCTGGATGCAGTAATATCCATTTAGGCGACTGCATAGTAAGATTTTGCTTTTATTTTTTGGTAAGGTTTAAACAATCTTAACAATTAATTTAATTTCCTCAGGTTTTTTTTTAATGTATTAGCATTTTGGAAAACTTTTGAAATTGTTAGCTTAGAACTTCAGTATTTCACCTGAAACCTGCTCAAGAAAGTTTTTTTGAAGAACAAATCACTAAATCAATAAATGCCAAAACCAATCTGCCCGTGTAGTTTGCCCATGCAGTTACCAATGTGGTGGGCCTGAGGCATATAATATATGAGTGTACTGCTGAACACCTTCCCATGAAACCATCCAAAAATGGGTCCTTAGACTCAAATTGGACTTGAAATCACACTGACAGCAATACTAGATACTTCAAAGCGATTCTGAAGTTGAGAGGCTATAATTAAGAGTTCTGTTCTCTCCTGATCATGATTGTCTTTTCTTCTTCTCTTTTAAGCTGTCTTCTTTGCTCTTCTGTAAAGTAGCTGACAATCCATGGCTATGATTTAGAGCTTCCGTGTTTCTTTTGTGCTCACCTGCTCTCGGAGCTTTGATTCTGCCCCGAGGTCCTGCCCATCTATAAAGATCCTCACCCAAATCAGAGGTTCAAACTACATTTTCTTTTCCCCATCAGTTAAGAGAGAAGGGGAAGAGAATGAGCACTTATATAGAGCCTACAAATATTATCTCATTTGATCCCCACAACTCTGTGAGGTTAGGTGCTTTTATGATCCCCATTTTACAGTTGAGGAAACAGAGGTTAAGTGACTTGGCCATGGTCACACAGCTAGTTAAGTGTCCGAGGCCACACTTGAACTCAGGTCTTCCTGTCTCCAGGCCCAGCGCTTTATCCACTGCGTCACTTAGATGTCTGCTACATTAAATAGTTTCATGGGGCTTATGTGTATTTCTCTGGAAGGGTCATTCAGGTTTTACCTAGGCTACTGTCTCCCTCTTTGGCTATATCACAAAATGGTTGAGAATTGAAAAAATCCAAGCAAAAACACTCTGAAAAGTGTCACGCATCAAGATTATTAGTACTACCTTTGTGAAACCCAAGTTACATTTTTATTTTCAGGCCTGTTTAAATCTCTTATAACAGCAACTAGCCTATTTTAAAAGTTATGTGTATTAATGACTCACATTTGTTGGTAATTTTCTTTCATGTAAATAGCAAAGAACATGTATATTCAAAAAACATACAACCAAAAAACTGTGTGAGAGGAAAAAGAGATCCTTTGCCAAAATCAAGTTCCCATGAGTTGACTGAAATACTGCTATAAAGAATGAGTCCTTGAGAGCCTCTCTGCTCAGCCCCGGATGCTGCTCCAGCCTCCATACTGCTTCTTGCTAATACTCAACAATGGTATGCCAGCCCAGCCTTTCTTACACCCTTCTGCTGACTCATTTGAGCACCAAGTCTGTTTCCTCCACCACGGCATCATTGTTGGGCATCCCATCTCCAGTTCCCTCTCCCCTGAAAGCTCTGTTACTCTGCAAAACCCATGCACCTAAGCCACCTATGGGGGCCATGAGCCAGGGAGCTGGTAGAAACGAATCCTGAGGAACCAAGTCTCAATACGACTAACTCTTGACTATCTCTCAAATCTGGCCTAGTGATGTTGCAGCCCATCTATTAGCACTCCAGGAGCAACGTGGTCTTCCTCAAAGGTCAGTTCATATATTACCATCAGTTCTGAATAAACTGGAAGTCTGGTAAGTAAAACATCGTATGGCTTCCATTTTAATGCAGAGATTTTGTGCTGATCAAACCTAAACTTCTTTCCAATATTGCCTCTTTCCAGAGTTAAGAAATAAGAAACCCTCCCCATGTCACCTCAACCACTTACCAGGCATTCCAATAAGCGGGCAGGGCGGGCAATAACTATCAGAATCTTGCGAACCAGTTGTTTGATAAATGCCAACTCTCCACTTTCTGAACGGTCGTGAGCCTGAGAAAGGGCAAGAAAAAAAGAGAGATGATGCAAAATGGTGAAGTTAAATGGTAATCACCAAAGCACGTAAATCAGACGACAGAAAAACACCCAGTATCATATGTGATTCTTTTTCAAGTGGGGGTTGGGTGGGAAAGTAGTTACAAGACTGAAAAGCTAATATCTTTTTGCTATTTGGTTGTTTTTTAGCTGTGTTAGGCTCTTCATGACCTCATTTGGGATCTTCTTGGCAAAGATACTAGAGTGGTTTGCCATTTCCTTCTCCAGCTCATTTGACAGATGAGGAAACTGAGGCAAACAAGGTTAAATGACTTGCCCAGGGTCACACAGTTATTAAAGCTAGTAAGCTAATATCTAGAGGATGTCATATTCATACAAATACACATGCATGTGAAGATGGTATCCTCTAGGTATTAACTAGCTAATCTCATAAAAAGTTTCTCTAGCTACAGAACAGCTAAGGTTCATTTCATGGAAAACAAAATACTAAACCTTAATTGCAGAAATTTTACCGTCTGATTTTTAAGGCAAATGATTGATCTGTCAATAGTTTTAGTCTGAATCGCGAATAAAGATGTTACCATTATTATAGCTTGTTGCTGTTGAGGCATTTCAGTCATGTCTGACCTTTCATGACCCCAACTGGGGACTTTTTAGTAAAGATACTGGAGTGTTTTGCCATTTCCTTTTCCAGCTCTTTTTACAGATTAGGAAACTGAGGCAAACAGGGTTGATGGAGTGACTTGCCCAGAGTCACAAAGCTAATAAGCAATCTGAGGCCAGATTATAATTCAGGAAGAGGAGTCTCTATTTGAAGCCCCATTTTTTGGAGAGGAAAGTAATGTCTACACACCTAAACTAACGTTCGCTTCACTTGTGATAGTCTGAATGAATTTTCCTGTCATCCAAGTAATTTAACACATTCAAGGAAGAGACAACACATATATGAAATGTGGATAAAATTCAAATCTAATCATACTTCCAAAATACTGGAAGGAGTTGGCAGCCATGTTTAGTTCAGGTCACTGGATAATGCTCAGATTTTGGTACATGTATGGGTACATATATGGTACACATGTAGTATGTATATATATATGGAGATAATATAAATACACATATGTCTCATGTAATACTGTGTAGCTATCTGTTTTTAATTCAATTTCTCCTAATACAGTGGTTCTCAGTGTTTTTGTTTTTACTCAGCTGACCCCTCAACAAAAACAAAATGTAGTGTGAATCCTCAGGGTAATTTAATATACTACTCATTATACCCTTTTACACTTGTTCATTAAGGGTTTACAATCACTACAATGAAAACTTTTACCCCAAAAGCTCCAAATTAAAATACATATTATAAAATTATGATAAAATATGACATTTTATCCTACCTATCATTATGAAAACTCAGTATCTAAACTTTAAATAAATCAATGTGTGCACGATCACAAAAGTTTATAAATTGCTCCAGAAACTCATTAAATCAATAAACACTTATAAAGTACCAACTAGGTGTAAGACCCTGTGCTAAGTACTGAGAATATGAAAAAAAGGCAAAAGACTGTCCCAGCCCTTAAGGAGCTCACTTATAATACTTTGAACACACACATGCTTGTTGCCATAAAGGAAAAGAACATATTTTAAACATAATTGGGCAATTATTTACTATTTATGGCACCACTACAGAATTTTTAGCATGAAATCCCAGGACTGCCAACAAGAACTCTCAGGGGGTTTGCAGACTACGAAACAGGAAGTACTGTTCTATTAGATAGACTCTGAGGTCCATGACAAAAGGAACCATGTCTTATCTAAACTTTGCATTTCCTTCTAACACCCAGGATAGAAGTCTAGGGCAGGGGCTCTTCTGTATTTGCATTTCTGGCACTTGGTACAGAGCTTGACAAATGGTTTTCATCCATGCTATACATGGTAAGCACTTAAAAGTTTATTTAGATTGAGACTATTGTTTTTTAACATGGCCAACATAGGAATTTGTTTTGCCTGACCATACAGGTTTGTAACAACTGTTTTGCTTTTCTTTCTCACTGGGGAAGGGAAGGGAGAGAGATAAGGGAAGGCAGGTGGGAAGGAGAGGTTATTTTTATTCATTAAAAAAATTAAATGAAAAAGGCAAAAATGTTTGTTTAATAAATGAATGCATCTTCTTATTCATACTCTATCTGTATATATTGTGTTCTAATTTTAGGATATCTAGAGCCATTCAATACCACAATTTAACTAAACAAGTGATTTTTTTCCTTTCCCCACCTTCTTTTTATCTAGACATGAGGGGCAATAAGGTACTGTGGAAAGCATATTGGATTTAGACTCAGAGGACCCAGGTCTGATCTTTGGCTGTACTATTTATAGCATGACTGTATGACCTCAGGCCAGTCACTGAACCTTTTCTGGGCTTCATCTCTCATCTGTAAACTAAGAGAACAAGAGTAGCAGATAACCTTGAAGGTCCCTTCCTGTTCTGAAGCAGTGATATGAAACTTAGTAAGTACAATTTTTTAAAATTGCAGAATATAAAGAATCAAAAGTTCAATTTCATAAGTACCACCAAAAAAGAGACCTCTAATTTTACTAAGGATATAACATACATGTATATATGTATACATACAGTACACGTGTGTAGATATACATGTGCACATACACACAGCTATACATACATACACACAACACAGAGATGATGCATACATATATATGCATACATAAAATATACATAGACACACTTACAGACATGTACATACACATACATATACATGCCACATATACACGTACATATAGAAGAGTGAGACCTTCATTTAAGTCTCCCTCAATTCTCTTCCTCTACTCTGCTAGGTGGTGCCATAGTACACAGAGCACAGGGCTTAAAGTCAAGAAGACTCATCTTCCCGAGTTCAAATCCAGCCTCAGACACTTACTAGCTAGCTATGTGACCCTGGGCAAATCACTTGACCCTGTTTATCTCAATTTCCTCATCCGTAAAATGAGGATTAAAAATAGCACCTACCTCCCAGGATTATTATGAGAATAAAACAAGATAAAATTTGTAAAGTGCTTTGCAAACCTTAAGGTGCTATATAAATGCTAGCTATTGTTTTTTTTTTTCATTAATTTATTTTTAGTTTTCAACATTCACTTCCATAAGCTTTGGCATTTAAAATTTCCCCCCTCTCCACCTCCCTCCCCAAGATGGCATACAATCTGATATAGTTCTACATATATATCCCTATTAAACATATTTTCACATTAGTCATATTGTAAAGAAGAATTAGAACCAATAGGAGGAACCACAAGAAAGAAGAAACAAAACAGAAGGAAAAAAAAGAGCGAACAGTATGCTTCGATCTACATTCAAAACCCATAGTTCTTTCTTTGCCGATACGTTGATAGCATTTTCCATCATGAGGCCTTTGGAGATGTCTTAGACCCTTGCATTGCTGAGAAGGGCCAAGTCTATCAAGGTCAGTCATTGCACAACGTGGCTGTGACTGTGTACAACGTTCTCCTGGTTCTGCTCTCTTCACTAGCTATTGTCGTTGTTAACTCTGTTTCCACTTCTTCATCCTTACTCCTCAACCCCTCATAATATTACAATAGGTAACATGTACCCAGCACTTATCATGTGCCAGAGACTGTGTTGAGTGCTTTACAAGCACTTTCTCACTTGATCCTCACAACAACCCGGGAGGTAGGTGCTATTATTTTACAGATCAGGAAATAACAATAACAATAGCTAATATTTTATAGCACTTCACATATGCCAGGGACTGTGCTCCTAAGCACTTTACAAATAACCTTTCATTTGATCCTCATAACAATCCTGGGACACTGTTGTGGTTCAGTCATTTTCAGTTGTATCAGACTCTTCATTACCCCATTTAGGGTTTTCTTGGCAAAGACACTGGAGTGGTTTGACCCTTCCTTCTCCAGCTCATTTTACAGATGAAGAAATGGAGGCAAACACAGTGAAGTGATTTGCCCATAGTCACACAGCTAGTAAGTGCCTGAGGCTGGATTTAAACTCAGGGATATGAGTCTTTCTGACTCTAAACCTGGCACTCTATCCACTGCGCCACCTGCTGTCATTATCTCCATTTTATATGTGACTTGCCCAGGGTCACACAGTTGGTAAATATCTGAGGCTGGATTTTAACTCAGGTCTTCCTGACTCCACGCCCAGATGTCTATGCACTGTGACCCCTATCACTCATTAAAAATGTTCTCCCTTCAAGACTGATAATGTCCTTATCACAAAATCCAAATAAGACCTTTTTCAATCATTCTTTCTGGGCTTGCCATAGAATTGTACACCGTTGACCAATGCATCTTTCTGCTACTTTGTCATCTGTTTCATCTTACTCATGAGTCTCATCCTACCTACCTCTCTGCCTTTAACCTGGCTGCTCATCTTCCTCCCAACACCTTAAACTTGGATGCTCCTTGGGTTCTGTTCCTGGCATGGCATTCTGGGAATGCTTCCCAAATCCATAGCTTACCTTTGTTCTATGATGCAATCCTGTATTTTTCTCTGCCTGCCCACTTTGGTATGGAACAGGCAGCTTTATTCCCACACTGAAAGGGAATACTAAGCACTAAAGAGTTCTACTGATAATAATCAACTAAGAAACTAACACAAGGGAGCCTATTTGGGATAACTGCATCAGGGCTGTTATGGGCTATTTTACATTTCACTTCTGCTGAATATGGCCCGATAAATACCACGTAGACTCTTTTTTTCCTGTGGTTTCTATCTCTGTGAGTGACTCTCACCCTACAGGCTACCCTGTTGCTATAGCTGCTCCAGTACCCGACAGCCTGATGCCCAAGGACCTGTATTTCTGCATTTCTAACTACCTTTTGTATATAAGCACCTGGATTTTCTGCTGACAACTCAAATTCAAGATGTCTAAAATGTAACTCATAATCTCAACCCCATTGCCTTTCTTCCCTTCAAACAAACACCACACATAACCCTTATTTCTGTT